CTCTCTCTCTCTCTCTCTCTCTCTCTCTCTCTCTCTCTCTCTCTCTCTCATGGGTTGTGTGTGCGCACAAGCATGCATGCATGCTAGGGCAGAGATAGACAGGACGTAGAAACAGAAACAGGAAGACTGACAGAGGCCAGGTAAGAGGGCAATCAAGAGGTCAGAAGCAGGAATCGAAGACATTTGATGGTGCAGAAATTACAAAGAATAAACTGAAAGGTGAATGAAGACTCCAAGGCCCGAGTCTCAGTCACAGCACAATAAAAGCAAATAAAAATAATGGTAGGGCGTGGCTTCTGCTCTTCCTCATAGGAAGCCTCAGTCTCTGAGATCCAGGGTGAGTGAGGACCAGAAGGTTGAAAAGAGGGAGGAGAGGAAGGTCGGATGCGCTGGGAGTCAGATCCACAAACTTCAAACTCTCCTATACTCTCCTGGGAGTTAAACCTTTGCATTGTCTCAAGCCTCTGAGCTCCATCTTGGGATTCTGGGGGACTACAGGAACAGCTGGAAGGTTGTCTCCTGTGTGGTGTTGTCACAGATAGTCAACAACAGGACATCCAAGCCGACAGCTATAGGAAGACACACTGCTGGGCACCTTCTGGGACACCTTCTACCCCCTGGCCTACCAAGCCAATGGGTCACCAAAGCAGCACTCCTGTATCTCACCAGTAAGTCCTCTCTGAGTCCCACAACTTCATGCATCTGAGACGCCGGTGTGTGCCTGGCCCTATACAAGTTGCAGGGGATACAGAGAATCTATCTGATAGATACATGTGCTATAGCTTCATGGGACATGCTGTGATGGAGGTGTGACCACGGGGTTTGTGAACACCAAAGATCTCTTAGAAAAGGCAACATTTGGATGGAGTCTTCAATAATGAGTCGAGCCATTAGGCAGCCAAGAGGGGGAAAGCACAATAGACAGAAGGGACAATTCACACAAGGACAGAGAAGCGAGAAAGAGCAGGGTGACTCTGGAAAGTGCCAGTGGTTTTTGTTCCCTGCATTCAGGCATGCAGGGATAGTGGTGTCAAAGAAGCCATCAAGGGGGAGGGGATAAGAGGCTGCCAGAGCATCTGAGATTGAGCAAACCATGGACAGGAAGAAAGATTCCAAGTAAGAGAATGACCTAGGTGGAATTGTGCATTAGAAAGGCCACTAAGACCCAGAATTAACAACAGACTTTAATGGACCAAGACAGAGGAGTTAGAAGCAGGTAGGGGCTTCTCAGCGAAGAGTGCAAATCCACGTGACAGCAGCAGGAGCCGGACATGTCTGAAAAAACTGAAGAAGCAATGACAAGCTGTGGTCACCATTTGAACATGAGGATGGGTGAGAGAAAGGAATCTAGACCAAGTGGCTGCTTTCTGGATTAAGACACTGCACAGGAAGCGTAAGCAGAGGTAACTGTGACTGCAGAGTTTGGGCAAAGGGTAAATGTGAGGCATAGGTTGCCCAGGCGTTCCTATCAATAGATAGGTGGGAGGATCAGAAAGGAAGAGCCTGGGTGAGAGGCATACATGTGGAGACATAAGCTTTCAGCTGAAAGCTGGAACTGTGAGCTAGGTCCAGGGCACCCGGTGGAAGCTGGTCAGAGGCGGATGAAGCTTCGGCAGACTAGGAAGCTCCAGCTCGACCCCACAATGCTATGAAGGACCACAGAGAACTAGGAAAAGCTGATGGCTCTAAACTACCTGCTCTTCTCAAAGGAACTGAGGTGTGGTTCTCTGGTATGGCCTAGGGCAGGGACAGTACAGGAAGGACAGTGTCTACAGCTGCAGTCCCCTCTCCACTGTCCTTTATCACCTGGGGTCTAGAGACACAAAGGGCAGTGAACAAATGGCCCAAAGGTTGAGGACAGACCAGAACCTGCCATACAATCACGTCAGTGTGAAGAGAGCTAAGGCTGCTTACCAGCCGTGTCAGGGGGTGTGGCAAAGCAGAGATCCCTTGGGCCTGAGCCGCAGATTCATCAGCAAAAAAAGAGCTCTTGATCTCTTAGTTGCAAAGATCTCTTAGTTGCAAAGATCTCTTAGTTGCAAAGGGTCGTCAGTGTCCTCCCTTATGCTTTCCAATGTGCTCTGGTTGGGATTTTGAAAGTGAGGGGGAGGGACCGACAAGGTCCCCAGAGAGCAGTGGTCATCTGCGCATGCGTCTATGTCATTCTTTTCCAGGATGCAGGGGAAAGAAGACAATGTGAGTCCCCCACCCCATCTTACATTCCCAGTGATCTGACAACCTTAGGGATTTGCACGGCCAGTGCCAGCCCTGCCCTGTCACCTCAGCCTGCTGAGAGACCTAAATGGCCCCTAAGATCAGAAAGCCCACAACCACACAGAATCAGCCAGGTGGACAGCAAGCTAGAACTTTTTTTCTGGTTGTTTTATTTGAAAACCTTAGGGTGCGGCCCTCCTTTACCACACCCATCCCCTACCCTCACCCCAGGACATGACAATGCCACACACACGCACACATACAAGGCTGTGAGCTGCACACAGAAACACAGGAGCTGCGCTCACGACAACATTGAAAAAATATACACTATATATAATACACCCCCAGGGTCCTGCTCCTCCTCCTTCCCCACAACCTAGGCAAAGCAGGCCATGGAGAAAGGAACAGAGGCTGTAAGACCTTGGTACTGCTCAGGCAGGAGAGGAAAGAGGACAAGAGAGGGAGGAGGCTGAGAAGAGGGAGGCGCTGGGATCCCCAGAGTGAAATGGAAATAGAGGCGAGGGGATCCTAAGGGGAAGCGGGAGGGGCGGGGCAACAGAAGGAAGGCCCCCACGGACAGAACAGAGTAAAGGAGAACACAGCAGCAGGCGTCTATCAATTCCATCCCCACGTCAATCATGGCTGTTGATATCCCCCTCCCTAATACAGTGCACGACTGGCAGAGCTGCTGCCACAGGTGGGCTACAGGGCAGCCAACGCCATCCAGCCACTCTCCCAGGGCAGCCAGCTAGGGCAGATGCCTCAGGAGCTTGCCTCCTGGGGTTCTGAGATGGAAGGACCACTCCAAATGAAGAGCTCTTTCTCCCGCTTTTCTCCCGCTTCATCTCTCTTCTCTCCAAATGCCTTTCTCCCTTTCTTTCCTGGATTCCCATCTCCCCAGGGCAGGCCTCTCTCTTGGCAGGGTTGGAGCCTCAGTAGCGGTGTGGGGGGCTCTCAATGATGCGTCTCTCGTCGCTGCTGGGGGAGTCGGCTGCTTCGGAGTCACTGCTGTCCTCTTCCTCTTGCTGGCCACCAGCAACCCCTGCCACACAGGTCTGCTGGTTCTGGTAGGACTGGAGGAGACAAAAGCAGAGGGCTCAACAGCCTAGGCACAGCCAGAGCTTCTCCTTGAGGACACATGTGCTCGCACGCAAGCATGTACGCATGCGCCATTGCAGAGTCCCTCCCCAGTCTCACCCTTCCTCCTCCACGATCTCAGCAGCTGCACTAAGAACTTTCGCCTAGGGCGTGGGCCCTCATCAAGGATATTTGCTTCATTCCTCCAGGCCACTCACCTCCATGGGATTGACGATAATAGTGAGAGCAGAGTCATCCCAGAAGAGGTCAGGGTCTTTCGGGTCAGTGGAAGCCCCTGAGGGTCCGCCAGTTCCTGAGACACGGCGATGAAGGGAGTGGATCCGAACGAGGCCGAGGATAACCATAAGCACCAGGAAGCCCACGCATACCACAATGATAAGAGTCGCAGCACTGGGGACCACTGCGGGGAGAGCAAGGGGTCAGCAGAACACAGCACACCTGGGAAATTCGGGCACAGCGGTTGTAGGGTGCTGATGGAAGAAACTGCTCGGTGGGAAAAGTCCAAGAGTAAATAAACCACAGCCACGGAGAAAGAACAGAGGCTGTAAGACCTTGGTCCTGCTCAGGCAGGAGAGGAAAGAGGACAAGAGACGGAGGCGGAGAAGAGGGAGGAGCAGGGATCCCCAGAGTGAAATGGAAATTGAGGCGAGGGGATCCTAAGGGGAAGCGGAAGGGGGCGGGGCAACAGAAGGAAGGCCCTAAGGTCTTAAGGAGGCAAATAACCTGAGAAATTGGAAGAGAAACACACTCCCACCAGAAAGTGTAAACAGGAATGGAAGAGAGAGGCTACTCCAAAGGCCAAAAAGGCACACAGACAGGAGGCAGATGTGCAAAGAGAGGTGGGTGGAGAAGGACCCCAGCCTACTGCTGCCTCGATCAGCCATATTGTTTTTGAATAAATGGCCCAAACTACAAGTTGGCTGTGTCTTTCTGCCTGGATCTTCCCCCAGGGACCATCAACTCCCCAGAGGGAAAGAGAGGCAGCTACAGTGGACTGACTGGGATGAGAAGCAAAATAGCTCTAAGCCTAGCCTGCTGACCAGAGAGAGGAGTCACTGTCCCCAAGGCTGAAGACAGGTCCCTTCACTTACCCACCTGGTCTGGGCTCACTCCTGTTCCGTGACACCTCCCTTCTCCTTGCAGGCCTGAGGTTTCTGGTCCTGCAGGGCTTCTGTTCCTTCGGAGTCTCCCCCTGAGGTGTTCCTCCCTCCACCTGTGCACTCCCGGGCCTCCCGCCCTGCAGCCTCATTCCAATGCCCAGGTTCAGGGGTATATGGACTCTCACAGGCAGTGAGAGAGAGAAGGGCATATGCACTTTCACGTGCACCTTGGAGCTGATGGAGGAAACGCAGACGTGCAGACACAGGCACATGCCAATGAAGAACGAGTGGGCACACAGCTGGACAAACATCGCCATGCCCCATACCCGAGCCAGGCCTCTGGTTGCCCAAACACCTGCCTGTACCAGCCACCTAGCAGCCTGCTCACACAGTAGGAGTAATGGGATATGTGTCAGAGTCTCTAGCATGGCACCAAAAAGCCATATGGGCAGGGTCACCCAACTCCCTACCAGCTGAGCCAACCAAGCACCCCCATGAAGGAAGACATAAACACTACAGATCTGGGCCCTAAGAGCCACAGAACGAGCAGCTGTAAACATAACCTGGGCCCCGTTCTGTGCACACAGAGAGAGCACTCGGAGAAGCATGAGGAGGCAAAGCAGAGGAACCCCAAACCCCTGAAACAGCAAATGGAGGAAGAGAGCCCACAGGTACACTCCCAAGCCCAGAGCCCTCCTGGGCAGCTGGATCGCCACCTGCCACATGGATTCACGCTGCCCTCCACACCCCAGGCAGTCCTATTCCTGAGAAATAGTGTGCGTGTGTGTGTGTGTGTGTGTGTGTGTGTGCGTGTGTGTGTGTCCGACACCCACTAGCAGTCACATACAAGCAAGCTCTACATAAAGGTCACATTGCAAGCCAGCTTCAAATTTACCTACATCCTAAAAGTCACACATGACGAAACAGAACCTGAGCACAGAGGAGATGACACCCAGATGCAGACCCCTCTTGCCAGCAGCCAAGCACACACACTACCACCACTCCAGGACCAAGCAGGTAAGTGGAGGATCCCTGCTGGGGCTGTCCCAGCAGCCACCCGGCGCCCCGAGGCCACCCTGATGGCTCTCTGTCAAGCTGGTTCACATCCCGACAGGCCCGATGGCCCATTTTGGACTACTTGCCAAACAGAGCTAACTCTGCAGGGGCGGGGTCAGCAGGCTCACTGGGCTCTGGCTCCAAGGCAAAGATTGGCCTGGTTGGATCAGCATTTCTCAACTGCCTGGGCATGGGGGAGGAAGGAGAAAGGGGGCAGAGCTTCTCTTTCTATTCAACTGTCCAAAACAGCCCATCTCCGGTCCCCAAGTCAATGGACAAGTCCAAGGAGTAACGACCCTGACAGAAGATGGCCCTGTGGCTAAGCCCAGGCAAACCCATTTTCAGAGTGCATGTCACAGCAGATGACCTTGTGACTTCAAAAAGGACAAAAATGCAAACACTCCAGCTGTCGGCCAACAACTCTGATTCATTAGCATAAACCAGAAGGTTGGGAGAATTTTTCAATTCGCTACAGACAAAAAACCAAGACCTCAAAAAGCCCATTAGATCTTGCTACACATTAGATCTACATAGTGAACTCTGGCCTTGGGTGACCACAGCAGCCAACATTAAGGGATGTTTTAGCAAATGTTTCATGTGACCATAGGGACACTGTTGAAAGTGTTGTCCACAGCCCAGCATAACCCCACTCCTGGTGAAGAAAGTGTCTGAGACGTCCTTGGGTGCCCACCTCCTACCTTTGATTCTACAGTTGTTAGAGCTTCTCTTTGTTCAGCTACCAGCTACCAGGGCTTTGTAGCCACACAGCAGCTCACAGTAGGTGCTTTATATGAACTGACATCAGTCCCTGGCTTCATCTTGTTCACCTCCCACCATTGCCCCTCACTCCTTCTTTCTGTCCTAATTCTTTTCTCTTTTAAGTATTTTGGACTGGGTTCATTTGTCTTGTTTTATTTTGGTTTTACTAGACGGCATATCACTTTGTTGCCCAGGCTGGACTTGAACTCCTGGACTCAAGTAATCCTCCTGCCTCAGCCTCTCAAGTAGTTAGAAATTCAGTGCCAGGCTTCCTTTCTCCCTCCTGTTTTTTAATTTCAATCATGGACCGTGACAGAATCAGTCTTTTTAGAAGGAATTCTCTCTTTCTTTTTTCTTTTGCTTTTTGTTTGTTATTTTATTTCACAAGGTCATACAAGGCTATTTTCATGAAAGTACATAATGCGTTTTGAGTATAGTCACCCCAATACTCTTCCCACTCTCCCTGGTCACTCGAGTGAGCGTTTTGAGTATAGTCACCCCAATACTCTTCCCACTCTCCCTGGTCACTCGAGTGAGCCCTTCCGTTGCCCAGACAACTTCAGTTCTCCTTCCTGGTCGTCACCATGGTTTAATACTCTGTCTCTGCACATCTTTCTAAGGTGCTTCAGGTATTTGTGTAAATCAATGTAGAGAACTGGTTTCCACACTCTGCCCTGCAGTCGAGTTACGTAAGGATCTTTAAACACTGATAGAACTGACCGACGGCTCAGCAGTTAAAGGCTTGCCTTGCAAGCCTAGTGGCCTGAGTTCAATGCCTGAAAAGTGTGTAAGGATGTGCTGACTTCACAAAGTTGTCCTCTGACCTCTGACCTCTGACACATGTGCCCACATATACACGTCACACATACACAAACACACAATAATATTAATTAATAAAAATTAAAGCCGGGCGGTGGTGGCGCACGCCTTTAATCCCAGCACTCGGGAGGCAGAGGCAGGCGGATTTCTGAGTTCGAGGCCAGCCTGGTCTACAGAGTGAGTTCCAGGACAGCCCGGGCTATACAGAGAAACCCTGTCTCGAAAAACCAAAAAAAAAAAAAAAAAAAAAAATTAAAGTAAAAAAGCGTTAATCACTGTTTCTCATCAATTTGGGGTATCAACGACCAAGCGATTTTAAAGTTCCCTGTGTGACAGACCTGAATCAAAGTTTGGGGTAACAACGTCATAATGTCTTCATCTCTTGTCGCTCTCCTTAACTACCCTCTCAGATCCTCACTGTATGTCATGCTCCTGCCTGAGACCTCCTGGTCTCCAGGACCCAGTGCAAACTCCACATATGTCACAGAATCTTCCTTGACCGTTCTTAGTCACCAGGCTCTCTCTTGTCTGACACTTAAGAAGCCGCACTGAAATTAGCCTCTATCATTGGAGGAGATGGTAGCGCTTACTTCTTCTTAGCACTTTCTTCCTTCTTTGAGGAGTTAGGCTTCATGAAACCCTAATTCTGCAAAGCACTGTGTGGACTTGGGAGGTAAAGAAGAGGGAACACTTTGGAGTCCAAAGCAATGTATGGATCAGGTTTGATGGCCACGGTTGGAGTGTGTCATCTGCTAAGCTCAAGCCCTGTCTGTCACTCATAAATGGCCTCAGAGAAACGTGAACTCTGTACCTATTAGGGACAAAAATAAGAGATGAGGGGAAGAGAGGGGGCTGCTCTCCACTGACTATCAGCTGGCTGGCCTGGATGTAAGTCACAAAAGTGTTTCACTGTAGGGAGAATCAAGAAGATGGCACACAGTACCAGAGCATCCCCTGGTAGAGCAGGGGGAAGCAGGATGACAAATACTGCCTGTAGAGGGAGCCAGGACAAGGCAGCAGGACACTCAGGGAGGAAGCTCTGAGCAGTTATAACAAAGACAACCTCCTGGGAGCTCAGACCAAAGAGAGAAAGAACTGAGAACAAGGTCATGACACCCAGATCTAGCTTGAGCCTGCTCATGGGAGCGGAGCTCAGCATCCAGCCCCCAAAATGAAGTATGAGGTGACCCGGTGACCTTGAGCTCCTTGGGGAGTTACCTAAAGAGCCTGTGACCTTTTGCTGCTTTTCAAAAGAGGCAGTCTGTGGCCTCTGGGAGTGGGCTTAGTGCTTAAAACATTTAAATGTCCTCCTGAGCCAACTATGACAAAATCGGACGGTGACATTGGGTAACTTCACCAGGCCAAAGGCAAGGTGACGGGAGTAACTGCACCTCCAGACGGGCTCTGGGAACAATTCTAAAAGGATCCCCTAAGTTGCTCTCAGCAATGTATCTCCACTGTTCAGATTTTAATAATTCAAGGAAAGACTTACTTTAGTCTGAAGTGTAAATATCGGGTTACAAGATGGTTTGATGTCAACTTTATAAAATAAGAAAGGAAGGAAGGAAGGAAAGGAAAGGAAAGGAAAGGAAAGGAAAGGAAAGGAAAGGAAAGGAAGATAGATGACAGATATGATAGATAGATTCATGAACCACAGTGGAAACACAGCACATGCCATCAGGACGGCAGCCTCCATCTGCGGGAGGCAAGGTTGGTTTCTCTTCTTTATGCCCACATTCGCTCCAGTTGTCAGTCCAGAAGGATGAAGAGATTATCCCACCGCTATCATTAAGGCTGGTACCACAGAAAACAGAATCCACTGCCTCGCCCCCTCCCCTCCCAAGGATATAGGGACAAGTGTTATTGTCACACTTCCCCTCAGCTTACGCACTGGAGTTCCGGTGGGAGCTGGCCAGGCTGTGTCCAGCCATCTCAGGGGGCGGCTGGTGACCCCGGTGCAGGAACTGCTGTGAACTGAGCACATGGCTGGGATGGGCAACCCGGTTCATGCTATGCAGGACGTTGACCTGGGGAAAGATATGGCCCTGTAAGTACAACTGCCCCACCCACCCTACTCCAAGCTCACTCACTGCACCTCTCTCTCATTTAGGGTGGGACTCATAACACACAATGGGGGGGGGCAGTCAGAGGACAACTTGCAGGAAACACTTTTCTCTGTCTGCCATGCAGTTTCTAAGGATCAAATTCAAACACAGGTCATTGGGCTTAGCTGTGAGCCATCTCTCCCACACACATCACTATCACCCCACATCTCCTCCTCTGCCATCGGTCATGGGCCTAGGACTCTTCAATGCAACCAAGTCCTTGTCCATCAACCATCTATCTGAGGTCAATACATCCTGGTTCCTTGCACGGAGCAGGTGACCAAGAAATGGAAGGGATTCTCCAGCTACCTCCACAATGAATTCGTTGCTGGAGTATCGGCCGTTCATCTCCGAACAGGAAAGCCGGAATTTCCTGGCATACAGGGCTGCTCCGTGCCGAAGCTGATAACGAGCCTGCCTCAGGATCTCTTCATACACAGTGATGGTCTCCACCCCTGGGGAATAAGGAGACAAGCTCAGTGAGTCTCAGGCTCCAGCCAGCTGACAACACAGTGGGAGGGGTGCTTAGCCCCATCCCTCAACAGAGTTGTAAGCTGACAGCTCAGAGAAGAAAAGCTCCCACACACTCCGAACTACAGGAGTAGAGTAAACAAAGCCCCATTTCCTTCTCTGCCCTTCTCACTTAGCCCTGTGGTTCTGGGACTCCCCAGGGATGGAAGAGCCTAGATAGTCATGGAAAGGAAGATAAAGGCATCTTTCAAGGGAAGGTGATGGGAGGAACACAGCTTTGGTGAGGGCTGGAATGGAAAGGAGCAGTCACTGTCATCTCCTCCCATTCTCCTGGGGACAGCCTCCCCCAGAAACCATCACTTCCCACCGTTCATTGAGATGAGCTCTTTAAAGCTATGCTGGATGCAGGAAAAGATAGAGGGGGTGACCTCATCAAAGAGCTAGAAGAGAGCTGGTGAGCCAGGCTGTGGAGAGCCTCTGCCCAGACACACCGCCCTCAATCTGAGAGTCAGAGGCTCTTCCAGCCAAGAAGGAACAAAATGGCATTTGATCAACATCCCAAGGAAGGAGGAGCCATGTGATTATTGGTGAGAAAGTCACGCACAGCAAAGAAGTCAGAGGCTTGGACTCACTGACCAGCAATGGTGAGGTAGGCAGATGTGTTGGTGAGCTCCAGGCCTCGCTGCTGCAGGGAAGCCATGTCCAGGAGCAGGCTCTCTCGTTCAGGGTCTAGGTCATCTCCCACCAGAGAAATTTCACAGCCGTCCAAGTTGTGTACAATCTCATCTGACATGCGTGTGTCTGTCACTGTGGGAGAGAGTCGGGGTCAAGGTGAGGTTCTGAGACCCAGGCATTGTCATCACGTATGGTCAGTCCCCCTCCCTACACAGGGCCACTCCTTAAGAAAGGTAAATATCATCATGAAATCAACATGCGACATTTCCTCATACATGCAGGTTTCTTTCCCACAGGCTCTGGGTTTTAAGGATAAGTTGTTCTCAGTCACACAAACACAAGAGGAAGCCTTCCAGCCCTGTAGCTATCCATCAATCTAGTCACAATCACCCTTCTCTGGATCGGGTCACACGTAGGGTTGTCCTTACCTGTGCCCTGCCAACTCTCATCTGCTTTGGCCTCCACCTGGTGAGAAATGGAGCAGGTGATCTGAAGATCAGGGAACAAGGGGACTCCCTCGGGTCCCTCAAAGTCCACAGCTGGGCGGGCAAAATGAGCTGTGCCACTCAGAAGGATCTGGGGGGCATCAGGCTGAAGGACCACCACATAGCCCTCCACTTCGGGGATGGAGACGCAGGACTCTTCACTAAAGCACCTGTATGAGAAAAGAGACAGCTTGTCACTCCAACATCCCTCCTTTAAAAACCTAGAGTCTGCCCAAGCATGATGGCACATGCTTTTAGCCCCAGTGCTTGGGAGACAGAGCCAGGTGGATCTCTGTGAGTTCAAGGCCAACCTGTCCTACATACAAGTTCCAGGCCACACAGAGATACACAGCGAGACCTTGTTTCAAAAACAGAAGTCTAGTTTCTGTTCCATACTTCTGAGCCCCCACCTCTACAACAGAGGACTGTCCCCGAGGGAGTGAGGGCAGGAGAGACGGCAATGGCAGCTTCTCTATGCCTCACCCCCACAACAAATCTTCCGAATATGGCACTACTGCAGGAAAAGCAGAAGATAAGACAGGCTCAGCCTGTGGGTAATCACATTATCGAGGCTGTAAACCACGGAATGTGTGTTACATTCTATTTTAATGAAACAGTGAAGGAAACAAGACCGATGAGAATGTACATACATCGAGTTAGAGTCTTGCTACTTCTCATCAACTTTCTGCCCTTCCACCATGCATGGTAACACATGCCCGTAATCCCAGCATTCAACTGGCTGAGACGGGGGGGGGGGGGGGAGGATTGCAAGTTCCAGGCAAGCCTGAACTAAGGCTCTCTCAAAAAATATTAAAATTAAAGTATATACACATAGTTCTTCACCCAGTGAAAGTTACACGGGTTCAGTAAAATATCAGCCAAATATAGGGCCTAAAATATCCAACACTAAAACCAGGCTAGGGTTAGGTATTTATCAATAACGTCGTCTTTTTTGGTGTGTCTTCTATCCCCTTTACTGGACATCGGCCCAGAAAACTCTCTCAGATGACCAATCAGTTATGCCCCCACTCTCCCACTCTCTCCTGCGGATCACCCTGGCCTCTCCCGGTCTCAAGCTCCTGTTAGCCTAGGAAGCATTTTGTGATGTTACTTCCTTACAGCAGTGGTTCTGTGCTTCAAAATAAGGATAAGAGACCAAACGCTTTTAGCCATGCATGGTAGTGCACATCTCTAATTCCAGCGCTCAGGAAGCTGAGGCAGGAGGGTTACTGATAGTTCAAGGGTATCTTAAACTACACATCAGAGTGCCTAGACACCCTTGGCTAGATAGCAAGACCTTGCATCTAAGAGGAGGGAAAAAAGGAATATGACAGATACAGTTTAATTGTCCTAAACTCTGATTATCAAATAGAAGGTTGCTGTGGTGACGTGGTGAAGTGCATTACATGTTTTGAACAACACTATTCATGAACTTACCAATAGGAATAGCTTTAGAGCTACTTAAAATAGCTTACTACAGTAAATCAATAATCAACATCTTGGTATCACTGGAATTAATGGATTAATTGCAATAAGTGTGATCACAGTATGTTTATTCATTACTTCAAAAATATGATTCGATCTGAAAAAAAAAATCTTTGCCTCTTCCAGGGTATTGTAGTTCAGTTCCCAGCACATCAGGTTCCCTGGAGCTGGAGTTAAAGGCCCTCTTATGGTCTCCAAGGGAACTTGCACATAGTAGGCACACATGGACACAGACACTCACCCACATAACTGAAATATTTCTTAAAGTAGAATTTGAGAAACTTTGTAGTCTGTCAATAAGAGAATAAAATTCTAAGCCTGGCATAATGGTGTCCACCTTTACTCCCAGCATTAGGACACAGAGACAAGTGGGTCCCTGTGATTTCTGAACCAACCTAGTCTACAAATCAATACCCAAGCCATCCTGGGCTACATGGTAAGACTCTATATAATTGCCAAAATAAAACAAATTAGACAAATTTCAGGAACAACAAAAGAAGGAGAGAAAAGGAAGAAAAGAGCCCCCAGATGGAGCATCTGGGCCTCACAAGCCATATTGGCCACAGAGTTAAGGCTTCAAAGTCCAACTGCAGCCCAGCCCATGTTTGATGCCTAGATTTGTACCAGGAAAATGTGCCCCTCCACTGGCCTTCCTACACCGTCCACGGTGAGAGAGTGCAACAAGACAGCCCTCACCAGGCACCAGTGCCTCAGTCTTGGGCATCCCAGTCTTCAGAACTATGAGAAACAAATGTCTGTTTTTCTGACTCTCCAGTCTCAGCTATTCCATTATTCAACAAAGTAAGTGAGGAAATTGGGACCATAGAGGCAGGTGTCATGGTTACAAATGTCCAAACCATGAAAGCAGCTTTGGGACCAGATGATGAGTTAGAAGCTGGACCAGTTTTGAAGGGGATGCTGGGATGGGGCTATGCCTCCATAGATGGAGGATTAAGAAGATTCTGTTGAGGACTCAGAGAGAAGAAACTTTCATTTCGTTTCTTGTTTTGTTTTGTTTTGAGAAGGAGCCTCTCCCCAAGCCCAGAGCTCATCAATGGTTATACTGGACGGCCAGAGAGCTCTGAGGACCCTCTGTCTCCCCCATTCAACCTCCCCTGCCCACCTAACACTAGGCTCACAGATGCACACCACCTCCTGGCTTTCTCTTGTGAGTGTTGAAGATCTGAAATCAGGTTCTGATGGTTGAGTGGTAGGTGCTTTACCTATTAAACAATCTCCCCAGCAGGGAACTTCTCAGAGATGACTGAAGATGTCACAGTCAGGATTTTGCTAGAAATATGGTCCCTAAAGGCCATCCTGCTGAGGTCTAATGAGGGGTGGAAGAGCAACTGGAGTGAGGACCATCCTTGTGTATACTGGCAAAGGATTGTGGGTCTGTCCATGCTGAGCATTTTGGAAGGAAAACTTAAAAGTCAGTGAACAAGAATAGTTGGTCGGGGCTGGAGAGATGGCTGTAGCAATAAAGACTGCTCTCTGCTCTTCCAAAGGACCCTAACTCAGTTCCCAGCATCCACTTCAGTTCATAAGTGCCTGCAAGCCCAGCTAGGTTCATAACTCCTTGTAACTCCTGCTCCACGGGGTCGGATGCCCTCTTCTGAATTCCACAGGCACTCACAAACAATCACATGCACAAACACATGCAGTACATACATGTAGACACAGTTTTTTGTAAAATATAATTAGTGAAAGAAATTCTAAGAAAAAATATTGAAGACGCTTAGAAATGCCTTTAAGTCATAGGATTAAAATAAAGAGTAACTTAAAGATGAAGTTCATAACTCAAAAGCAAACAGCGTACGGATTAGAAGGACTCATAGCCTCCCAAGCAAAGAATGAACAAGCAGACATGATCCTCTGATAAAGGGACAGAAGGAAGACGGTACTTATTAAGACACTAGAAAAATGAAGACATTTCAGAGATTTTCAGGGCAGCCCCAGGGGGTGGAGAGATCAACATTCCAAGTCTGAGTCACCTCAGGTCTCTTGCTGCCTACATTCTGACACAGAGCCCCGCCTCTACCCAGAATCATGGGGTTCAGCCATGCCAGGTGCAGCTTGGATCACCTACAAGAGCACACGAAGGCTCGGTAGCGTCCATATGTCACTGATACTAGAGAAGAGGCCATGGTTCGTTTCACCTTGATTTCAAACTCTGTCACAGGGAGCCCCGAGAGTCGTGAGGGCAGAGACAATATAGAGTATTAGGGCAAACCGAGAGGAACTGTCAGTCCTCTAGAGCAATAGAAGCAATGTCACGGTGGAGACCCCAGAACTGCAGAGCTCCCAGCAGCATAGAACACCAGCCTGGGAGCACTATGGGAGGAGCTGCCACACAGCTGAGCCCAACAAGTCATGAAAGTGGGGCTGTCTGATGCCTTCTGGCTGAACGCCACCCTAGTGTGTCTGGAAGCAGCACATGGAGTCAGGGGTTCTTTGAAAGCTTTTGGTTGGTTTGGTATGGGTTGGGTTGGGTTTGGTGTGGGTTGGGTTGGGTTGGGTTTGGTGTGGGTTGGGTTGGGTTGGTTTGGTGTGGGTTGGGTTGGGTTGGTGTGGGTTGAGTTGGGTTGGGTTGGGTTGGTGTGGGTTGGGTTGGGTTGGGTTGGGTTGGTTTGGTGTGGGTTGGGTTGGTTTGGTGTGGGTTGGGTTGGGTTGGGTTGGTGTGGGTTGGGTTGAGTTGTGTTGTGTTGGGTTGGTGTGGGTTGGGTTGGGTTGTGTTGGTTTGGTATGGGTTGGGTTGGGTTGGTTTGGTGTGGGTTGGGTTGGGATGGGTTGGGTTGGGTTGGGTTGGGTTGGGTTGGGTTGGGTTGGTTTTGGTTGGTTTGGTTTGTGGTGGGGTCTCATGTAGCTCCAGGGTAACTTCGAACTCTCTGTGTAGCCAAGGTTAAACTCCTGAGCCTCCTATCTCTACCTTCTGAGTGCTAGGATTATAAGTCACGTACCATCACACTCAATTTATGGCGCACTGGGACTCAAATCTAGGGTAAGCAATTCTAACAACTGAGCTGCGTCTCTAACTCATTATCCTGAAATCTTAGGATCTGAAATGCCACGGCCAGAGAGACAGTTCAGCCGCTAAAGTACTTACCATGCAAGCATGGATGCCTGAGGTCAGACCTCCGACACTCACATGAAAGCCAAGCATGGTGCCCACCTGTACTCAGGGGCTAGAGAGGCAGACACAGAAGGATCCTTGAACTTCCTAGCTAGTCAGTCTAGACAAACCAACATACTTCAGTGAGAGAACCTGTCCCAACGGATAAGGCGGAAAGTTATAGAGAAAGACACTCAATGCTGACCTCTGGACTCCGCTCATAGCACACACTTGTTCTCACACAAATGTGTATGTGTACATACACCAAAAAGGGAGGAAAAATAGATAATATTAGATGGGTGTGGTGAGGCACACTTATAACCCCAACGCGCAGGAGGCTGAAGCGGGAGGGTCATGGGTTCAAGGCCAGCTTGGGCTGCACTGTGAGATGCTGTCAGTCCTGATCACTTGGGGATGTGTTTGGAGGCGGCTTTGTCTTTCTCCTCTGTTCTACTCCCTTCCCGAATGGGTATGTCTAGCCTAAGCACGCTCCTTTCCTTGTATTTAAGAAGCAGCTAATTTGTTCCGTTGCACAGATGGAGAGGAATTTCCCTCAGGGCACTCCAGCCCTTACCTCTCACCCGGATCTGATGACACTCAAGACTTTGGATTTTTTTTTTTTTTTTTTGCGTGGATACTGGAATGAGACAAGATAGTGGGGATAGAATGAATGTAGCCTGTGTGTAAGAAGAACATAAATGTAGGGGGCTAAGGACAGAATTCTAGGGTTTAGATGTGCCCCCCAAAAAGTATGTTAGGAATTTAATTCACAGTGAAGCAGTGTTAGGAGGTCGGACCCAGTGGGAAGCACTTGGCTCATGCCTGACACATCCTCATGGATTAGCACTGGTTAGGAGACAGGAGACGTAGCCTGACACTTCCTTCCCTCTCCTGTTCATGGTTTCTCCTTTCCAGCCTTTCCCCTCCTCTTTCCCTCCCTCCTCCTCTCTCTCCTCCTCTCCTTTCTCCTCTCCCTTATGTTCCTCCTTTTCTCCCTCCTCCTCCTCTTCTTCTTTTCCCTCCCTCTCCTCCCATCTTTCTTCCCCCCTCCCACCCTCTCAGCTGGCCCATTAGATGACACATCAAGAGTCACTAGCCAGATGTTGATCACCAATCACCAGCCTCTAAAACTATAAAAAATAAATAAATAAATCAATGTTCTTTCTAAACTACCAAGCCTCGGGTATTCTATTACAGTAACACAAAACAGACTAAAGCCAGGCATGGTGGCTGGTGCCTGTGATCCCAGCACTTGGGAAACTGAGTGAGTTTAAGGACAGCTCAAGCTATAGAGTAAGACCCTGTCTCAACAACAAAGGAAAAAAGACTGACTCAACCAGTCCTGGCAGAAGGACCGTCGTTCTGAAGGATCGGGAACTCCTGTCTCTACCATCGGGCTAACTGAAATGATTTGGGTGAGGGACTGGAACCATCAGTGTCACCAAACACACCCAGGCTGACTGGAGGAGCTACATACAAAGAGCTGTGCCCTCTACAGGTGTGACAGGCTCGGAGCCCTAAAAGAGCCCGACATGACCTACAAATGACCCCGGCCTGAGTGACTTCATGGTCAGAGATGCCATTAGAGAGGTTAGGAGCACTGGCCCTTTGGGTATGGGTTATTTAAAGTCAGGTATTTCAACACTGACTCATCTGGGTTACAGAGCTGAGAGAACTAGGTAGAGGGTACAGCACACAGGAATAAAGTCAAGAACCACGGTCTGGGCAAAGCTAGGGAAAACGATGGCTTTCCGTCTCTCCAAGGGTTCATGTCAATTAGGCAGGCTTTCCAAAAAATACATCTTTTTAAAGTTTAAATCATTTAATTTTGCCAACAGTGGTGGCACAGACCTATAATTCCAGCTACTGGAGAAGTTGAGGCAGGAGGATCACAAGTTGAAAGCCCACCTGAGAAAGAAGTTCACAGACATCTTTGTCAACTTATTAAGACCCTATGTCTCAAAAATAACATGTGAAAATGGAGTCAGGGATACAGCTCAGTGATGAGACTGCTTTCCCTAGTGCACAAGGCCCTAGTACCAAGAAAAGGGGTGGGGCCAACTTGCATTTAAGTATTGACCTAAGAGTTGTGTAAATCTGGCTTTAAATGATCAGAACTCCAAACACTGGAAACAGGAAGCCATGAGAGCCACACAAGCAAAGAGAAGAACAGGTAATAGGCATCTCTGTTTCTTCTGTAACACACACACACACCCCAAATCTCCAAATTTCCTTCCATGACCTGAGGAAACCAAGGTGAACCAACCACTTAGTAGCCCATAGAACAATAAAGGCTAGGGCTTCTTAGCTCGGGTTGGAAAGATGCTGGCTAAGCATGCACAACAGTCACGGTTTGGTCCCCAACACCACACAAACTGGTGTGTGTATCTGTGCCTGGAACCACAGCACTCAGAAGTACAAGCAGGAAGATAGACAACCCCAGGCCATCTTCAGTTAGATAGTGAGTTTGAGGCCAGCATGGACTACAGGAGACTCTGACAAGAGAAAAGAGACCTCATTAAAAAAAAAAAATCTCAAGGCCTCTTCCCTCTTCTGACAAGACCAAAGTCAGTTTCCAGGTTCTATTAATAAGCCTCTCTAGTCTAGGCCAGAATGACGTAAGAGAGATTCGGGTGAGCCAGTGAGCAAAGACATTGGCACACCTTTACAGGATGCCCCTGCCAGAGGTCAACCCTTGACCAAAATAGTTCTCTCGCCTAATGTAGCTCCTAAGGACATGGAAGGGGTGAGGTAGATCTTGGTTCCTGAGGGATGGAAGCACCTTAAGAATTCTGACTAGGGGACTAGAGAGATAGATCAGTGGTTAAGAGCATTGGCTGCTCTTCCAGAGGCCCCAGGTTCAATTCCCAGCACCCACACGGCCCCTCAGTACAAGTTTTAACTCCAGTCCTAGGGATCCAATGGCCTTTGCCAGCACTGCACAAATACGGTATGTAGAAATATACATAAATCACCCACATGCATAAAAAAGAGATGTTTTACACAAGAAATTGTGCCAGTACACAGTGGGGGTGCACACAGCTCTGATCTGTGTCCACATGATACCCAAGAGTTTGTGACCTTTAACTCCACAGTGTCACCATATGACAGCCTAGCAACTCCCTTCCACGGGTCTGACAGGAGCTTGGAAAGTGTGCTCAGTTACTACAGGGTTCAGAGCCCTCTTCCAGGATATCTGAAGCCACGTGCTTCAGGGAATTTATAGAGAAATTAAAGCTGAGAGGGAAGAACATGGGAACTCTGACTCCTCAATTGCGTGATCCACCCACTAGATGGCGGTATGTCCTAAAACTGCCCTATAGACCATAACTAGGGGTGAAACTGCCTTCCCAGGGGACCCAGTTCTACAGAACAGGCACTATGGCAAGCATTAGCCCTGGATTATAGCATTTAGTTCATAACAACTCCATCAGTCATGTTCTATTATCTCTCTAATATCTAGTAATCTAGTTTAATAGGTATCTAATAAAATGCTAATCTATAACTAATAAATACACCTTGACCTTACTCACAATTTTTCGACTGAATAACTCAAAAATCATCCCATTACAATATGAAGATCATCAAAGCTTTCCTTTAAAAGACCAGCTAGGAAATAATCTCTCTTTTGGAAATACACAATCCCCATCTCCGCTATTCTCCTGCCCACACCCTATAAAAGCAGCCATGAGCATTAGGGAAAACAAACCGGCAGGGCTCTGTTCCGCTACAACTTTCCAGAATAAACGGCAAGCCAGACTTGGCCTGGGACCACTGATGGCTTAGGTTCGTCTTATTTATTTATTTATTTATTTATTTATTTATTTATTTATTTGCAAGAACTTGGTGAAGTAAGATAAATAGGCAAAATGAGCAACGCTCACTATTTGTTCAAGGTCATCCAAATAATTAGAATTGAGTCAGAATTAATGTCAGCCCCACTTTATATATCAGCATAAAAAAGATCGAAACCCCAAAACCTGGCAACATATCTTCACAGAGTAACAGAATGGGAAACCTGATTCTGGTCCAGGCTCTTCTACCAACATGACTTTTAACAGATCAGCTGTGCTCTGTTGGGACTCCGAGAGGGACGTGAAATGAGAATGGTATGGTTAGGTCTAGTGATGTCTTAAGACAAAGAGCGGCGCTGACTATTCTATGATTAGCCCGCCTACCCAACACTCACTTGACAGCGGTGGTGAGGCGCAGGGGCCTGACGCCGGGTGTGGCAAAGCGCAGAGTGTTCATGTAAGCCACATGCTGCAGGGCATGGTTGAAGGTCTCCACATCATCCCCCTCCAGGGTGAGCAGGGACTGCGAGGGGTTCACGTGGACCTGGGTCCCAGACACAGACATAGCTGAGAGCAAGACCAGGAGGCAGGAGAGGAAAGGTGCAGAAGAGTAGAGGGGTCGAGGGAGGTCGGGGCCAGGGGCATGCCGGGAAAGAGAGGGAGTGGAAAGGGCTATACCTTCATGCCTTTGCCCAGGCTCTCGAAATCCCTATAGTCCAGCCCCTCCCGACATGCATAGAGGCACTCGATGACCTCACGGCTCTCCAGGCGACCTGAGCGCACGCTGAAACCAGCTAGGTAGCCATGGAAGTAGTGGTGGATCAGCAAGGGGTCTCCTAGGGCAGGAACACAGGAGCAGGGCAGGTAGTGAGAGGAGAAAAGAGGAGCAGAGGGAAGGTGGGCCGAGGGTGGGGCTGAGAGAAAAGAGAAAGGAGAAAGGAAGACGGTAGCAGGAGGCTTGAGAAAGAAAATGAAAATATGGAAATAAGAGATAAGAGGTGAGGGAGAAGTGGGAATGAGGGGTGGGATGGAGGAGAGGTCCCAGAATTCTTGCCTAGGATGTGTGAGCCTCTGGGTTCCATCCCCTCACACACCAGAAGAAGAAAAATGAGAAGAGGGCAAGGGAGGGAACACAATGAGGAGGAAGAGGAGGAAGAGAAGAAGAGTGGACATGTATAAAAGCTTCTGAGAGGAGAAAGAGGAGGAGGAAACCACAGGAGGGGTAACATTAGAAACTGACAGGAAATGAGGGACTGTAAGAGAGGGCGTCTTTCCAGGGACACACAGGGCGACCAGGATGAATGTGTGTGAGCTCCAAAGACGCCTAGACGGGCCCCTCCGGCTGCCTGCTTTGTGCTATGTGGAAAGTCAGCGAGAGAAATGGTAGTACATTCTATGGGCAGGGGGGAAACCACGCAGAATCCAGACAATCTATATAATCTATATACCCAGCCTTCCTGCTCCAAGGAGATCCTGCTTTGTTATGGCTTAGAGACTCTACCATGGTGGAGTGTGAAGGAGAAACTAAAAAGGCTGGGTTGGGGCAGAGAGAGAAGCCCACGTAAACCAGTTCAGATAAGAACTCTGGTCTCCGATTGTTACCCATGGTATACCTGAGGTTGTGTCTGTACTGTTCTCTCCCCCCTTCTCCTTCTCTTTGTTCTTCTCTTCTGCAAACCAAGAAAAAAAAAAGTCAGCAGTGAGCTGGGGGCTGTGACAAGACGTTCTGTAATTCTCCTAAGTCCTCTCATGCCTTGTGGGGTTTGCAGGTTCTCAGCAGAGCCCTAACCCCTCTCATGACATTCTCCAACCTTCTACAACCTTGCAGGCCTCTGTTACAGATTACTCTGTCTATAACCAGACAAGGGAGGACTCTGGTAAGCGGTATGCAAATGGAAGACTAATGGTTCTCTGGAGGATTCCTGTCCTCCTGCAAGGGAGAGGCTGTGGAAATCATCACCTCCTTGAGGGAACCAAGCGAGAACTGGCTGGAGTTACGAGGTGGATTTATGGATGGAAATGCCACCAAGTTTAAGCTGCTGACCCACACAACGGGGACTCGGTATCAGAATCAGAGGTCTCCATCAGAGATCATTCAGAGAACAGTCACCCTGCCCAGCTGTACAGAGATTCAGGAGGCAGCCTCTGCAGAGGGGCAGGCTGCCCTTCCTCCACACCTGACCCCCTCCCCTCAGAGCCCTAAGCCTTTACTGGGTCTTTACTGAGAAGGTCAGGGGACCCACCAGTCCAGCAGGCCCCAATCATGAGCGCAGGTTCCCTCCTGGGTGGGTGGATGAGACCATTGTCGTGGATGAGAGCCGGGTCGAAGGAGATGCCGTCAGTATAGAGCGTGACCGTGGGGAACTCGAGGTTCAGGGCGTAGTGATGCCACTCGTCGTCACACACCTGGGGGTGCAAAGCGAGGGCAAAGGCCCCCCAGTTACTTGCTCTCCAAGGAACTAGCCCCAACCCTCCTCCATGTCCTGGAAACAGGACAGTCCTGGACATCCCCAGGCCTAGCAGCAGGGCTGCCTACCCTGCTCAAGAAATAGCCACCTTGTCCAAAATCTACAGGGCAGGCAACCTAGTGTAGAAGACTCCATGGGTTACAGAAGCTAACAGAGAGAGCCACAGGAGTACATTCCTAAAGTCCAGCAACTCTGGAGGATGAGGCAGAAGGATCGCTTGAATGGAGGGGTTTAAAGGTCAGCTCGGGCAACACAACAAACTGTTGTCTCAGAAAATAAAATAACAACAACAAAAATATGCTATAAGTAAATTTTCCCAAATATATTTATGAATAAATGGATGGATGACATGGTGAATTTCAGGGTGGTTTCCAACCCAAGAGGACCTTCTGGGACACCGTTTCCCTCTGCTGCTTCTCCTGGAGTCACTCAAATAAGGGACAAATGGGCAGAGGGAGGAGTGGAGCTCTCTACCTTACCAACTTCCCAGTGGCAGGAGCCCTTAAGGCTCAGCAGGGCCTCTCCCTTCCCTCCTCTACACCCTCTTCCTAGGGGGTCAGACTCCACATTCACGCTGGTGACGCCGCCATGGCCGTGTCCAGCCCAGAGTTCTCCGGATTCTATGCTTTCTGTTCATAGGTCTCAAGGGCATCTCACATTTACCATGCATAAGACGGAAGCCAGTACGCCTCCCGGCTCCCCCACATCCCCACCCTCCACACCCGAACCAACAGGTGCGTTCATCTCAGGGCCAAACAAAACTAACAGCTGTGGTCTCATTTAGGACTGTCTGGCTCCATGGTGACATAGCAGTGAGTCCCCAGTCCCTTTTGTGTGAACAGTCACCACAATTCCATCCATTGACTTACAGTCCTCTTTTCTTCTTCTTCTTCTTCTTTAAACTGGAGATAGAACATGAGGCTTTGAGCTTCCAGCAAGCTCACACCTCTAAGCACATCCTCAGTCAAGTCTTTTTGTGACTTTGTATTTCTGTATTGGTTGAGGTTGGGTTGTTTGTTTGTTTGTTTGTTTGTTGAGACTGCTTCATAGACTTGGATATCCTCAAACACACAAAGATCCACCTGCCTCTCCTGCCCCCTTCTCCCTACCCCTGCCCCCTGCCCCCTGCCCCCTGCCCCCTGCCCCCTGACACTGCCTCCATATTGGGATTAAAGGTGTGTGCCATGACCTATCTTGCCTGATGGTTTGGATTTTTTGAATTAAAGTTTCACACTGCCTGGGCTAGCCTCAACCTCACCATGACCTTGAACTTCTGATCCTCCTACTTCAGGCGTGCACCGTGACACCTGGTTTCATGTGATGATGGACACTGGACCTAGAACTTTTCCCCAGATCCCCTTACAGCCCAATCCTCCACACCCAAACCATCAGCAGGTGCTTTCTTCTCAGGGTTTCCTTGTGGAACTCTCCATCTCTGAGATGATGAGTTGGTACTCTGCCAGCTGAGCTAGATCTCCAGACAGCAGATGATGATGATGATGATGATGATGATGATGATGATGTTTAAAAAACAAAAATGAGCCAGAAAGGCAGTGGTGGTGCACACCTTTAATCCCAGCACTCAGGAGACAGAGGCAAGTAGATCTTTGTGAGTTCGAGGCCAGCATGGTCTACAGAGTGAGTTCCAGGACAGCTGGGGCTATACACATCCCTGTCTCAAAAAAACAACAAACAAACAACAACCCCCACAACAAAAAATAAAGTTTCACTAAACTGCCAGGCTAGTCTTGAGCTTTCAATACTCCTGCTTCAGCCCCAGAGGTAGCTGGGATCACTGGCCTATAGCACTAGGCCTGGCTTATTTTCACTCCTGTACCTCTTCAGTAAGGCCTCTCCCAACTGCCCACGTGATGGTCTTCATCATAACTCTGACCAAGCCTTCAGACAAAGGCTTCCCAAAGCCACTTTCGCCTCTCCAAGCCCTCTGTAGCCCCTCCCCGCCGTCTGCTGGCCCTGGCTCCACTGAGCTCTTCCTTGCCTCAGAGATTTTTCATCTGCTGCTCTCATTTAGATATTCAGATTTTTTTTAGCTCCACCTCCACTAGAGGCTGGCTCAGGGTTCCAGGGGTTGACTTGACACACACAAGGTCCTGGGCTAAATACCCAACTCCACCAAAAAGAGGAAGTGGGGAGAGAAACGGAAGGCATGGGAGGAGAAAAGAAAAAAATAAAGTAGCTTATCTACCCAACTAAAATAAAAGCTCAATGAAAATGAATGTCTTGTTTCGTGTTATTAAACTCCATTGTACCCCGAGAATCTATCCGCTGAAACGGTGGACACTTCATTGGTGTCTAATAGATATTTTAAGTAAAAGAAGATATAGAAAATTTTAAAGAGAAAGACTAGGGATGTAGCTCAGAGATAGAGCACTTACCCAGCATATATAAATAAGGCCAGGTAGTCAATCCCCCCTGCCCCCCCCCCTCTCTCTCTCTCTCTCTCTCTCTCTCTCTCTCTAGGCCTGGCATGGTGAACAGCTTGTAATCCTTAGGAGGGTAGGACAAGAGGATCACAAGTTCAAGGACAGCTTTGGCTACAGAGAGTGAGTTTAAGGCCAACCTGGGCAACTTAGAGAAACTCTGTCTCAAAATGAAAAGTAAAACGTAAGCTGGTCAAATATTAGGCTTGGGGAGTCCTATGGAGAAGGGGAAGGAAGGATTGGAGGAACCAGAGGGATCGAGAGCATGGCCCATAGAATCAACTGGAACTCAAGTTGGCTCACAGAGATAGGGGAGCCTGTACAGTCTGAGCTAGGTCCTCTGCACATATGTTAGAGTTGTGTAGCTTCATGCTCTTGTCAGATCCCTAACAGTGAGAGCCAAGGCTGTCTCTAACTCTTCTGCTTGCCTTTGGGACCCATTCCCTCTTACTGGGTTGCCTCATCCAGTCTGGATGTAAGAATATGTACCTGGTCGTATTATAGCCTGCTCTGCTGTATATGGTTGATGTCCTTAGAAGGCCTGCTTCTTTCTGAGGGGGGCAGTGAATGGGGAGTGGATTGGGGGGGAAAGAAGGGGGCCTGGGGGAGGGGAGGGAAGAGAACTGCAGTCAGAATGCAATATATGAGAGAAGAAGAAAGAAAACCAATAAACAACAAGAAAGAGGGATGAAGACAAAGCTCAGCGGCAGAGCAAGGCCCGGAACTCAATCTTCAGCATCTCAGGGGAAAGACGGAGGGAGAGGTGAAGAGAGGGAAGAATGGGGGGAGGTCAACCATACGAGGAAACACCCAGAAGTGGCAGACGGCAAATCTTCTCTTACAATGTGCTCCCAACAGCAAAGCTTTCATACACAGGCCTCACTCATCCAGACTAAACCTGGCCACCATCCTGGCCCTTGTTTTAGTCCATTTCGTATACATAAGCCGTATAACAGCATGTGCCCTTGATTCTTAGTGTGTAACCAGGAAACCAGGTGATGGGGGGTGAAGTTCACAGCTCAGGGTTCTCCAGGCCCTTCCCTCTCCCGACTCCTGTACCGTCTCCCACTTATCAATCACTCTACCGGGATTTACACAAAAAGCAGAAGATGGAAACTCAGGCTGCCCTCACTGGTCTTTGTCGTCAACTTGAAGAATGAACAGACAGGATGTGCTGGCCATAGGGACACGAACCTACAGTCCCAGCACCCAGGAGGCAGAGGCAGAGGGGACCCAAGTGCAGGACCAGCCTGGACTGTAAAGACCAACTCAATAAAAAGACTACAACTTGCAAGTGTGGACTTAAGAGAGGATCTTAATTCATTTGTCCATTTTTTCGTATCTCTCATAAGTATAGACAAAATAGTGACGGTTAACATGTGTAGAGTGGTTTTAAGTCTGTAAAGCCCTAGTATATAATTTCATCAAAACCCCGGGATGTAGAATTCTTTTTACCCTTCTTAAAAGGCTAAAGTTTAGCTTGGCATGGTGGTACACACCTGTGATCCAGGTCCTTGAGAAGTGGAGGCAGAAGGATCAGGGGTTCAAGGTCATCCTCTGCTATTTAGCAAACTCTTGATAGCCTGGGCTATCAAGAGATCCTGTCTCAAAAATTAATAATAATAAAATACTATAAAATGAAAAATTATGAAGTTTAAAAGTACTAGCGGGGTGGTACTGAGCACACCTTTAATCCCAGCACACGGGAGGCAGAGGCAGGTGGATCTCTGTGAGTTCCAGGACAGCCAGGGCTATGTAGACAGAACTTGTCTCAGAACAAAAACAAACAAACAAACAAAAACCCAAAACTAATGAATATGGCTTCCCAGTGAATACTGAACCCTAAGCTGTGAACTTCACCCCAGCATTATTTGGTTTCCTGGTTACAAACTAAGAATCAAGGACTCGTGCTGTTGTACAGCTGCTTATATATAAGAAGATGGACTATTAGGGCCAGGATGGCGGCCAGGTTTAGTAGAGTGTTGCCCTTACGTCCCTTCAATCCATGAATGCTCTTCTGGGCAGCAAGCCCTGCAAACAAGACAACCTGGAGTAGACTCATCAGGAACTGAGGTTAGAGAAAAGGTCATCAAAACAACAACCCCAGAGGCTCGGAAGCCCCTAAAACTTAGTTCCATCCATCTCAGAAGCCTGCCCGCCCCCTGTCTCACCTGCTCCAGTTTCCAGAGGAACTTGACCGGACGGGCACTCTCAAGCAACGGCCAGTAGAGAAAGGCGATTCTGCAGCCATGGACAGTCAGCGAGTAGTGAGAGTAGCCGTCCTCTGAGGGGCAGGAAGGGGACAGGGAGAGAAAGGATGTGTAAGCCATCACCGTGTGCAGTGGTGGGGCTTGTGTGGGAGATACGACAGGGATGCCGGAAGAGTAACTTGGCAACTGCCAATAAGGACAATGTCATCTGAGAGTCAGTCCTGCTGCATCCAGAGCAGGAACCTCTCAAAATATCATCTCAACAAGTCACAGAATTACAGGGGTGGAGAAACCAGCCCAAGGACTGGGCATTATGGTGTCTGTCATAGTCTAGGCAACTAGGCAAAATAAGGCATTAGGACCTCGTGAGTTGGGGTGGGGGGTGGGGTTCAGAATCAGCCTACAAAACATGGCAAGATTCTCTCTCTCTCTCTCTCTCTCTCTCTCTCTCTCTCTCTCTCTTTTGTTAAGGTGTCAGGGGAGTACAATGGAGCATTCCTGTAATATCAGCACTCAGAATACTGATGCAAGAGGACTGTTCAAGTTGAAGCTCAACATGGGCTAACCTGGGCTAACCTGAGCCAATCTGGGCCAACCTGGGCTACATGGCAAGATTGTCTTTAAAAAGACAAACTGCCAACTTACAAATTTAAATTAAAAGAGGAAACGAGACCTGTCAACAGTCCTCACTGGGTAATAGCAAGTGACAAATGCAGCACAAGGAGCCAGTGTCCCACCTCAGGTTAGGACTCACCATTCTGGACTGTGTTACACACAATGGTCTCCTCCTCCTTCTTCCCCTTGCTGGGGGTCACGCTATGCTTCATCCAGAAGGACAGGGTAAAGTGGTCACTGAAGCCATCCTGCGGCCCAGAGCCCAGCCCTCCTGGGCCGCCCAGGGGAACCTGCACAGCTTGCGTGCCGTTGAACCAGTAGATGAGGCTGCTGTCCTGGCTGTAGTGTACTGAGAGTCCCGCTGTCCAGTTGGCATTGGGGCCGGGCATGGGCAACAGGTCCACCTCCCCAGTAGCAGCACCTGCAGATGCCCCACAGGGGACAAGCGTCAGAGCTGAGAAGCAGCTGATGAGGAGATGGGCTTTCTAAGACAAGAGAGGGAGAGCGCTTTCTCTCTCTCTTCTACAAATGACTCTTACTAACTGAGCCCACTCACCAACTCTCAATATCTCATCCACCGAGATATTGTTCTGCGATGCATCTAGTGGCAGGCCCGACAACGATACACCTTTACCAGAGCCTTATCTACCTACCCTTTGGAGCACAGAAGCTACCCACACACCCCAGCACCCAGGGAGGTATCAATACCTGCGATGACCAGAGGAGTCAAGTTTCAGAAAAGGGCCGGGGAAGATGAGGGATGGTTGAGAAGGGATGGTCCCGGGGGAGGGAGCCGCACGCACCACAGAGCTTCCGAAGAGCCCGCTCTGAGTAGTTGTCTCGGTCACAGCCTTTGGCCACATGGCTGGTCTGAAGCTCTATGGTGGCCTGAATGTTCCACAGTGGCTCATCACAGGTCTCGAGGCGGATGCCAGGGAACAGAGCCAAGCTCCCAGCTCCTGGGGCATATTCAATCCTTTTGTTCCAGCCTGCACAGGTGAGACAGAGAGAAAGGCAGATGGCAAGGCAGTCCCTCCCGCCATGTGTGCTGACTGTCTGCGGCTCCCAGAAAAAATGTCCAGGGTAGAAAGAAATGTCTGGAAATGTGCTTCCGGCATCTGGTCTACCTTCCGTGGTCATCAGACAGGACAGGAGAAAAATTAAAATTAAAAAAAAAAAATCGAAAACCGATGTGACAGATGATTTGGCGGCGGGTCCCTGCGGAATGCCCCCCTCACCTTGCCAGCTGGGTTTGCAGGTGGGCTTCACCTGGATCTCCACCTCAGCGTCATCTGCCGCTCGCTTCTTCCCACAGTCATACGCGGTCACCGTAAACTTGTAGAGCTTCTCGCCACTGTACTGTAGCTTCTCTGTGTTCTCAATGTTGCCTGTGGTGGGAAAGGGGAGGGCAGACAGGTCAGGAGCACTAGAGCAGTGGTTCTCAACCTTCCTAATGCTGAGAACTTTTAATACAGTTCCTCAAGTCGTGGTGACCCCCCCCCCATCAAACCATAAAATGATTTCATTGCTACTTCATAACTGTAATGTGCTACTGTTGTAATATAAATATCTGATATTCAGGATTCTGATATGTGGCCCCTGTGAAAGGGTCATTCGAGCCCCCAAAGGGACCACAACCCACAGGTTGAGAACCACTGCACTTGAGGAAGACATGGTAACACTAGACAACCCGAGAATCCACACATACAGATAGCAGCCTAAAGTGGAAAGGAAGTATCTGGGTGGGGGAAGCGGTCTCACATAGAGGCAAAGAGAGGAATAAGGGTCTGGAGGGAGAGGCGGGAATTGAGAGGATGATGTCGTGTCACTCATCGGGAGAGCAGAGGATGTGGAGCAGCGAGCGGCCAGGAGAAGACTCACCATCATTGTCAATGAGGAAGGGGGTGTTGGGTGTAAGGATCTCATAGTAGCAGATCTGGCTGTACTGAGGGGAGCAGTCACCATCAATGGCTTCCACACGTAAGATACGATCGTACAGCTTCCCCTCGGTCACTGCAGCACGGTACAGACGCTCCACGAAGACCGGGGCAAACTCGTTCACGTCGTTGACCCGAACATGCACGGTTGCCCTGAAAGCATAGGCACAGAATAGATGTGGGGGCCTTAGCCAGCTGCAGGCACTGAGAAAACTGCAATCGGGAATCCGGATCGGGATTGAGAGCAAGAGGGGGCCGGTGTACCCTGAGACTGCTCATCCCCCTCCACAGGGCACTGGGCTGTACATAACAGATATAGAACCACACGAGGGAGAGGGCTCAAGGAAGGGGCCAATGGCGTGGGAGAGAAGGAACAAGCCCTAGAGAATATCAGAAGCCATGTTGGTGATTTTTGTCCAGAAGGCTACATCAGATGAGGAGGAAAATGGCAAGTAGGTTCAGCACATCACCAATCTCCTTCGACTGACCTCTCTGTCTATCCACATGCTCCATAACAGACAGCTCTGCGTGTATCTGGGAGCCCTCATTAGAGTGCCAAGGTGAGGGGAAAGGCAACAAACTAAATCAAATATTTAAAAAAAAATTCAAAAGGTCCCTGACTTAACAAAAGTCTAATCTTACAGAAGAGATGAAAAAGCTACAAAAAAAAAAAAAGTTAAAACCAGCCATCAGGGAAGTGGCGTTTGACTGGAAGTCCTTTTTGTCTGAACTGAGTAGTTCACCTGCCTAAACTGTACATGTCAGCCATGGCCCTTCCCAGACCAACAGAGCCAGGTCTAGGAACATCATTCTATGCCCTGCCTCTAGCCAAGAGCCAGGCTCCGAGGCTCAGAGGCAAAGGTCTTCTCTCTAAATGGGAAACTAAGTCACAAAGACCTTTCTGATCTCTGATGCCCCTCGGTGATCCAGGATTCCTAATTACCGATCTTTTCCCCATTCTCAAGCGAGAAGTTAGCTGGCAATGGATGTTGATATCTGAGGCCCAATCCTCTCTATGGTAAACCACCCCTACCCTCCCTGGCCCCTCTAAGCCGTGTGTATGTCAGGAGCCTGATGTACGCTATGTGCTGCAAATGGACCAGAGGGGGCACTTGGAATAGGTCTGGCTGCGTGTGGAATTTGCTTGTCTCTCAACCATCACAATGCCCCTGGTGCAAAGGTACGTGCTTTTTATACACACCACCTCCTGTAATATACCCAGCAACATGTATCTGCCTCATAGACAAGGAGACGCAAGATCAGAAAGGCTAAGTACATTGTCCAAGGGTTCAAACGGCAAAGTAGAGTGAGATGTCACTGAACCCTCCTGTCTGCTGGTGACCTTGAGCAGAGATCCCTAAACTCTATGAATGGCAGGGGTGGGGTGACATTCAGTTAGTACGGTCAGGGACTAAGAGAACACTGTTTTTATGCTAGAACAAACAATAATCAGTTGACATAGGAGAAAGGACAAAGTGGGTCAGCAGTAACTTTGCAATAGTAAATTTGGGGCTGGAGATACAGTCCATTGATAGAGTGTTTCCCAGGCATAGGTGAGGTCATGGGTTCCATGCCCACTCAGGTTTGGGTTGGTCTACCCTGGGCTAACAAGCAGCTGAAATGACTGAACTTGTTCAACTGAACATCACAGTCTTAGCTAGCAAAGGAGAGCCCTGTCTCTCAGAGAGCATTGTTGAAGGAGGGAGAAGGGTCGCATAACAGATAGCCGTCCTCACTTGTGAGACTTCTTGGTATTGGTGCCATCGGGCCCCTCGCCACAGTCATAGGCCTGGATGGTAAAGGTGTGCTCCTTCTGGGCCTCACAGTCCACAGGCTCCTTGGCCCGGATCAGCCCTTCACCTGTTGCCTTGTCGAGGATCACAGCCTCAAAGGGTACCCCAGATCCATGGATCCGGAAGCCGCAGATCTCACCTGGCAAGGCAGGAAAAGAAGTGAGATTCCACGGGACCAGCCCTCTGACTCCTTGGCTGGGCCATGCCCAGTTACACATCTCCTCCCAAACTCTAGACCCTTCTCTTGGTGACATGAAATATCAGTGACCTCCAGCTTCCCTGAGCAACAAGCTCAGAACCAGCAGGTCTAAGGTCCATAATCTAAGACAGTGTTTAATCCCTGGCTGCTCGACTCTGGCAGCCTCCATTGCATCTTAGGTTTGTCAGTGCAGCCCATTCCCCTTCTTACGCCCACTTCCTCTGATGCTTTCCCAGGCTTGTGCCTACCTTCCCATTGCTCTCACTACCTGGGCCCCCACCCCTCCCTTGTCTTCTGCCTTCCCACCCACTTTCAAATCCTGCCAGTTACCTGCGTATCGGAGCGGAGCATCTTTATCCAAGGCAAAGAGCGGTGGATTCAACAGGACCGTGTTGTCATTCTCCATGACAATGCCCTGGTACTCTGCCTCGATCCACGGCTTGTGCTTGTTGGCTGGCCCCACCCCAGGGAGAAGAGAGAACGTGAGCTGACCCTCTGCTCCCAGGATGCACCCAATAGCAACACCCTTTCCATGCTTTGCCGCCTCGCCAGAGGGAAAAGGATGAGCTACAGAAGGATCCAGAGACTCTCTGTAGGAGGTCACGGCCTTCTCCTATAACTGGAGAGCACTTTCACGGCAACTACCTTCCTCTGGGGAAGGGACCACTGTCTCTCCCTGAGAATCATGGTTAGGGGTAGAGAATCTCCTAGAAGGTCTTTTTGCCTTAGGAAATGGCGATGGAGGGACTCAGGAAACAATGGTGAGCCCTCAGAAGGTCCTGAGAAAGGACGGGGAGAATGAAGGCAGAGTTAAGGCTGGGGGCAAGAGTAGAGCCCAGTTTCCTGAAATCTCAGTGGTTTACCCCCCTTCCCACCCCTACGCCACACCTGCTGAATTTCAATCCTTCACCCTATACTTCTCCAAGTCGGGCCTAGACTCCAGGCTACTCTCCCAGAAAAGGAGAAAGGGAAGAAGACAATTATATAGGACAGCAGGAGGGGGCAGAGGGGAGGGGAGGAACAGAGAAATCAGCGCTGTGCCTGGACCCAGCAGAGCCCACATCCTAAGGGATTATGGAGCTGGCCTAGAAACACAGCAAATCCCTCACCCAAGAGAATGCAGTCATAACCAGTACATTCTAGGTCCTCTCAAGACCTCCACACCCCACACTCCCTCAGCTCCTTCACGGACCTGTCTGAACCCTAATTTTGTCTGTCCCACATCACACCGTTTCCTACCAGACTCCTCTCAAGTAGGGTCTCTTCCCCGGGACCAACTTCCTTCAAGCTCTTAAGAGGTTGCCAGGAAAGCATATATGTCTGTTCTCTCTCATCCCTAGAACCAGCCTCCACCACTTGCTCCACCTGACCCCTTTATGCCCACCCATGTTCCCAAAGCCAGACATGAAGATAGATCATCAGAGGGAAACTGAGTCACCAGAGGGCTCTCACCCCAGTATCTCATGATGAGCAAGAAATTCGAATTTCTATTCACTCCTGTAACCACAGCCCAACCAATCATATCCTGGTATCTGCAGGCCTCTCCATTTAGTGGTGATAACCACCATAACCCTCTCCCCTAATGGCCGAAGAGAAAGCCTCAAGATGGTGTACAGGAGGCCAAACAGGAAGTGAGAAGAGGCTTGGGAGCCAGGAGGACCATCCTGAGGTAGGAGCTCCAGCCAGACTTAGAAGACAGCAGTCAGAAGAGTAGAGGATACTAAGGGCAGAGCCAGGCACCCTACAACCCTGTCTTTTTGCCCTTAGCAAACGAGCCCTCCTCCCTGTCCCTGTCTTATGTCTCTCTGCTGTCCTGTATCCATTCTTCATACCTTCTTTGCTCCCTGGATCTTCCTTGGTTCCCTCCTTCCCCACTTCTCTCCTTTCCTCCTTCTGCCTCTACCTTTCTGATCCGTTTCTTATTCCCACTCCTCATCCTCCCTTCCCTCCTCAGATTCCCTTCTCACCTCCTCCCTGGAGCACCCCCAAACCCCTTTCTGCCCTTTCAGCCTTTCTCTGCCCCCCTCTAGCTACCTGAACCCTTTGCCCCTGGCCCCACCCTCCCCTTCCCTCTGACAGTCTCACCCAGCTGAATTTATCTGCTGTCTGCCAGAGAGGGCAGCTGTGGTAACCCACAACCCAGAGGATGCAGGCAGAAGGGTATGGATGCAGAGAGACACGAAAAACCCTACGTGCTCAGAATTGCTGAGCTGTGGTACACAGTTTCTCCCCAGGAAGGGATGAAGACAGCCAGCTGGATCTGCCACACGCCCTTAGTGAGCAGGAACACCCAGTGAAACGGAACCTGAGGGAATGTCACCCTCGGGGAGCAAGTCCCTTTGAGACAGGAGGTATCTACCAGCATGGAGGAGTTGGGGGAGGGGGCAGAGAGACCCCAGGTGGGAGTAGAGACCAAAGACAGGCAGCACGCTGGGCAAGCACATGTAGAGATGGACCAGAGAGGAGGAGCTGGCCCTTGGAAGTGAGAACGGGTCTGAGGAAAGGATGGAAAGGGGGTGGTCAGAAAGGAAAGGACACCTGTCTCTGACGCCAGAGAGCCTCAACATCCCCTTCCCTCCGCACCCCCACATTGCTCAGCCTGACGCCCCAGTTCTGAGGCCCCCATCCCCGTCTATCTCACCTTTGTTGCCAGAGCTGATCTGAAGCAGAGAAGCCAGCAGGAGGGACATCAGGAGAAGGGTCATGATGCGGTGTTAAGCACGCCAGGCCAGGCGTTCCTATCCCCTGGGAGCCTCAAGCCTGCTAATGCCACCTTGGGAGAGAGATGCAGAGACTCTACGAGGAGAGGGCAAGGGGACAAGATCAGAAAGGGGCCTGCTGACCACGCTAGTCCATATAGCAGATGCGTGAAGACCCGCTGGGTAGCTGAGATGGGGGACTTGCAGTAGCTTCTCTTCAATCTCCAGCCCAGCGTCCTCACTGTCGCTCGCTCTCTCTCACTCCCACCCCATCCCCGCTACTGCAGGATGACGTCAGCACAGCCAGGCAAGGATTGATGGGGCCGCTGGCCAATTAGAAGACCGGGGGCGCCAGGTGCTGCAAGGGGGGCTAGGGAACCAATGCGACTGGGGAGCAGGGGCGGGAGAATGTGTTAGGGCTTTTTCCCCTGGCTGCAGTTTGGGGGAGCAGAGGAACTGCGGGGGCTAGAGAGGAAGCAGGAAAGCCTTGGAGGGGGTAGAAGATGCGAAGGACATCAGAAGACCTAGCTGAAAGCCAGGAGATGGGGTGAGACAGAGACGTCAACAGACTTGAGGGTGGCCAAGAGAGGCAGTATCCACGTCACCCACCCCCAATTCTGCACTAACCTCTTTTTACAGCCCATTCCGTTAGCTAGTCCTTGTTGCGTGCTTTCTGGAAACCTGGAGGCAAAACCTGGAGGATGAAATTCTAGCATTTCAGTTCCAACTCAGGGCCCTGCGGGAGACAGAGGAAGGCCAGAAAAAAGAAAAAAAAAAACAGACAGACTGACAGATAGACAGACAGATAGACAGACCAAAAACAAAAACAAAAAAATTCCTGAAGACAAAAGCCCTGAGATGAGGAAGAGGAAGGACTCCCTTTGGCCTTTTCCACACGCTCCTGTAAGGGCAGTTCACCTGCATCTGGGCCATTTTGGAAGACAAATGGGCAGCTGAAGACAGGGTATACAATGATTTCAATATCCCCTAAGCCGTTATGATGTGCCGTGGTAAGGGCTCAGGGGTGATGGTATTCAGGACCTGAGAGGGAAACCCTGGGTCCCAAATTAAAGAGTATAAAATTCTCAGCCCTCCCTTGCCTTCTCTTGAACTCATCTCTCACTGAGTGTCATGTCCTCTGCCTCCCCATACATGCCCCAGAAGACCGAGAACACCCGTTTAAGATCCATGTTCAGTCAATGGTGAGGGAGGCAGTGAAGACCTAGGGTCCAGGCCTTTCTTAAATGTGGCTCCTGTCTCCAGGCTGTCTTCACCTTCCTCCTCACACCTCTGAATGTCCCCTCCCTCCCCTTCTCCTCAGTCTAAGAATAAAGCCAGAACTCACAGCTGCTCCACACTGCCGCACCAGACCCAGCAGCCTCCAGTGGGAGCCCGCCCCTCGGAGTTCCCTAACCTGCCGGAAAGGGCAGGAAGGCCAAAACTGACTCTCAGAGAGTTCAAGTTTTGAATGACTGACAGCTCCAAGGTCGTTCCACAGCAAAAGCTGAAGCCAGGCATGACTTTGTTAAGTCTCCTTCAGCTCCTTCGCTCCAGGGCTACAGACACCAGACCAGAGCTCATCATTGGGGCGGGGCAGGGGGGCGCGGCATCTCCTACTGCAGCAAGGGCCCAGCCCTATTAAAGCCCTGGTAGCTGGACCTTCCCACACCGTGTGTGGGGACTAACTTAGAGTCTGTGAGTCTCCTCTCCCAGACACCCCCCCCACTCCTCAGTCTATTCTTGTCTATATTGGGAACAATGTCTCCCTCCCAACCTGTCCCAAAAGAACTTGGAACACTACCTAAATATCCTAAGTAATGATGTCACCTTTCCAGACCCTTCCTCCCAGCCTCTTACTCTTTTAGGTCCCACTGTGAAGAGCGGGACAACATTGGAAGGTTCAGTCACCCAACATCCCACCTGATGGCTTAGCATCCGTTTCCCTGCCTCTCACAGACTTGTCAGAGCTACTGCAAACAGGATGCACCTGGCTGGCCAGGAAAGCTCTAAGTCTCAGCCCCCACAGACATCAGTGGTCTGAGAAAGGTAGTGCCGCTGGGGATGGGGGCGGGGAAGATCAGCCCTCAGTGAAACCACATAAGGATGAAGACTCTTAGCACCTTCTAGAACTACTTTATGGAACCCAAGTTGGGAACAGAGTTTGGGGAGGATCTAAGTTTTGTGGATGGATAAAAACGCCAGGTGCTTTCCCTTGCATTGACAGGGCACAGGGCACTGTGAGTCCTCCAGCCCAAGCCAGGGACAGTGACCACCAAAGCAGGACATGGGGTCCCCAAATAACAGTCCCTGAGACCAACAAACTCCTGTACTCCCCAATCCCTTCTTACTTCTTCCTTACTCATTCTATGTCTTTAATGGAATAATTTATTTTATCGTCTTTTAAATATTTTTATGTGGATGGATACTTTCCCTCCATGGGTCTGTGCCTCCACTGGGTCCCCTGGAACTGGAGATACAGGCAGTCATGAACTACCATGTAGGTAATGGGGAATGAACGCACAGCCTCTGGAAGGGCAGAAAGGGCAGAAAGGGCATTTAACTGCTGAGCCGTCTCCCCAGTCTCTTCCTTGCCCCTTTGCATCATCAGTCACAGGAAACACAAAGGACAGGCCAATGAGCCAACATCTGTTCCTCCTGGAGCCTGTGGCACTGGGTCTGAGTCTCTCACTTTGTCTCCTTAGACACTTTTCCTGCTTCTTACATAGTCCCTCTCAGTCACCTTTGCAGACAGAGTCCCCTACTAATTAACCCTGACACCAGAGCCCCCACAGGACTTTGGCTTTCTTTCTCTGGCCTGTACACTGTGAGCTAAGTCACCTGCTCCCATGCCTTCTGCTGCCACCTGAACTGTCCTTGACATCCGTCCTCCAGCCACACCACTGCCTGAGCCCCAGAGTGATGCCCTCGCCTGTCTAGAAGACACTGCTATTTGGGTGCTCAAGGTCATTATTCCCTGGGGCCCAGAGCACCTTCACTTCTGTATTTACTGTGTCTGTGGACGGCAATCGCCAGCCAGACTTATGCCACACTGATTGATGTCCCTGCTTCCTTACTTATGGCCCCCATACACACGCACGCACGCACGCACGCACGCACGCACACACACACACCACATCCAGAATAACTTTCTGCACTAGCCAAAATAGTAGCTATTTGGCATGTAATTAGTCCAAATGGAAATGTGCTAAGTCTAAACTACATACTGCATTGTAAAATAGCATCAAAGAACGCGTCTGACTTTCTTATTGATCACATGCTGAAATTACAATATTTTGAAGAGTTTATATTAAACAAAATTATATTCCTAAAATTCAATTTTCGTGTCTCTCTTTGGTCTTCTAGTAGGTCTTCTAGGATGGTTTGCATATGTGGCTGGCATTTATGATCTATTTTCATTTTATGGCTCTCTGATAAGTGTCTGTTTCTTCCTAACTAAGGTCTTTGTTTCTCACCTGCCCCAAATCGGTCCCCAGTCTTAATCCTCCTCTAACCCAGGCTGCACAACCCGTAGTCACAGGATTCATTAAAAAAAGTAAAAATGAGCATGTCACTCTCTAGCTTAGATCACTCAGCGATGGTTCGATGGTTCGTTTACATTCCAAACAAAGGCTACTTAAGAGGATGTGCCAGCTCCTCGGTCTCTATACAGCTTCGCAGGAACATCAGCCTTCATTCTGACTTCTGTGCCTTTTCTTCCCTTCCTTGAAATTCTCAATTATGAACCATGCCTAGTGACACAGGCCTGTAATATTGATAGGCTGAGGCAGGAAGACTGCAAATTCAAGGCCCGACTAGACTACAGAATTCAGGGCCAGTCTGAACAACTTAGGCAGTTTCACCATAACAAGAATGCTGCGGGGGCTGGAGAGATGGCTCAGCGGTTAAGATCACTGACTGCTCTTCCAAAGGTCATGAATTCAATTCCTGGCAACCACATGGAGGCTCACAACCATCTGTAATGGGATCTGATGCCCTCTTCTGGTGTGTCTGAAGACAACAACAATGTACTTGAGGATCGTTAGCCAACCAGCCTGTTAGAAGTGATGATCTCCAGGCTAATGACAGACCCTGTCTCAAAGGAGGTGAACGGCAACCATACACACGCCTGCACAGACATGCTCATACTCACATTTGAAAGAAGGGGAGGGGATTCAGGCACGGCTCAGTGCTAGAGTTCTAAGCTCAAACTCAAGAAAGGAAGAAAGAAAGAGCCGGGCAGTGGTGGCGCACACCTTTAATTCCAGCACTTGGGAGGCAGAGGCAGGCAGATTTCTGAGTTCGAGGCCAGCCTGGTCTATAGAGTGAGTTCCAGGACAGTCAGGGCTACACAGAGAAACCCTGTCTCGAAAAACAAAACAAAAAAGAAAGAAAGAAAGAATGAAAGAAAGAAAGAGGAAAAGGGAAGGGAAAAGAGAGGAAAGGGGAGAAGAGAGGAGAGGAGGGAAGGGGAAAGAAGGGGAGGGGAGGGGAAAGGAGGGGAGGGAAAGGAAGAAGAGCAACTTACAGCATCAGTTCTTTCCACCGTGTGAGTCTCAGAGGGGTCCAACCCGATCATCAGGCTAATCCCCTGAGCAATCTCCTTGGGGGGGGGTCTCATTTGTCTTCATTGTTCAGAAAACCTTATGCATTTACCAGAATGAGATCCAAGGCCATGCCCACAGAGGACCATAGACTCCACCTCACCCACCATCGAGGGTGCATCTCTCCCACACACTAGAGCAAAGAATTAGTCTGAGCAAGACTCGTACAGCCTGGAGGAAGCTATAAGCTTCCAAGTAATGGCCGGTCTTCCATGACGGAAAACCATGGGCAGCTAATGGGCTTGGGAGCGAGGGAGGAGACAGCAGACAGGACCAGGGGATGGAAGAATAAGTTACATTTGGGTACAGAAAGGACCAGCGGGGATGACTGTAGAGACCCTCTGCTTACAAGCCAGCAAGGCTGGGAATACTGGACAAGAGGAACAGCTGGATACAATGAAGCTTAGAGTTCCAGGGTCACTGTCCTGAAAGCAGCCAGAAGGGCGGAGCTGGTTCAGTACCAGCCTCAGCCTCAGCCTTTTCCCTCTAGAGGACTTAGTTCCTTCAGAATAAAAGTCTGTGGATCAAGTGTGAGACAGAAAAGGGCTCAGTGTAGGAGTAAGACAAAGTGAGGTGGGAAGGGTTGAGGAGTGGCTGTCAGAAAGCCCCTGGAAGCCAGGTATGGCAGTACATATCTGTTGCAAGAATTTTCTCCCTGCACGTAGGAGGAAGAATAGGCAGCTTCCACCCTTCTAAAGTCACAACAACAAATCAAAGTATTTTCCACCAAAGTCCCTCTGAGGGAACTGATGCGTTCATTGGCCTTGCTTTCGGGGTATGGATGATCCCAACCACCCACACTGGAAAGTCTACACCAGCATGAATGATGGCTGGCTCAGAGCTGCATAGACGGAGCTTTCTCCCCCTCCCCCCTCCCAGCCTGTATATCCTAGCCACACCCTGAGACCTCGAAGGCCATGTACAATTGGGGTAAAATTGCAATACAGCTATGTGAAGGGAGTGTTCGGATACTCAGGTGAGGGTCGAGTGATTCTCTCTACCCCTCCTGCGATGAGGGAGTGCCCACAGTCAACAAGCTCGGCAGCAGCAATCTGGCTCGAGCAGACACAACTGATCTTATGAAGATGGGGCCTGTCCCTGGCTCAGAGCAGAGTGCTGGGTGACAATATCCAAAATGTCAGCTTTGGGGGAGCCTGAGAGAGGAGGAAGACATGTCTGAGGCTCAGTCGGGGCTATTCTAGTGAGATCTGGTCTTTGAAAAGGGAGGGGGTAGAAAGTCTTTGTTGTTACCAAGTGAAGGCTCCTGCTTCCTCTTCCTGCAACAGCTAGGGCCCTCACCCATAAAAGTCGGTAACTAGGGCTCTGCTCAAGAACTACACTTGACCTTATGTTGATCTCAGAGCGAGTCTGGAAAAGAACTCGGAGTTGGACTGGATACTTTACCATCTGTCCAGCCTTTCTAAATGTCCTCTGCACAATGGGAAGGGGCGAATCCTCAGAAATAACCTCCGGGCACTGCTGGATCCTACCGTGTCCCTCCTGGCAGCACAGGAAGATGGTCCCTATGTAGCCAGCCATTACCCACGGAGCTGGAAGGCTCTTCGGTGGGTGTCAGTCAGATAAGCTAAAGCGTTGAACTTAGTCCTTCAGAACCACTATGACTCAGGGGTTCACACCACCCACACCACAAGTCCCCACCCTCTACCCCAGCAAGATCCAGAATCCTCCAGATCACCCAAAGCTACACAAACACTCGGAGTAGGACTGAGCAGCTCCAGAAGCAACACCAAGGAGTGAGGAGGCTCAAGCCACTAAGACTCTAGAGTGCTGTTCTCATTGTGGCCAGCAGATGGCGCTACTCCGCAACTGCTGCCCAGTTCAACCCTATTTTATACAACATTCCGGCTATACCACAGCCCATACGTGCACACTCCCCCTTCCCAAGCCCACAATAACAGCCTCACAAGACTGTGTCCATCATTCAAATCGACCTCCGTTCATCCTTACAAGGAAGAGATGATTGTCAAGGGGACCAACATGTGAGTAAAGAAAAAGCAGGAAAAAGGTCAACGGTCACAGATAGGGTGAGCCCCGCCCCTAATGCTTCCTGATGGATGTGAAACTTCCTGCAGCGGTTGGCTTTGGTCACCAAAGACTTAGACCCCAGGAATATGACCAGGAGTTCCAATGCTTATTTCCATAATCTATGGAGTGGCTACATTGACAAGCTAGGCCTCTGCTCCCCAGACCCTGAGACCAAGAGCCAAAACAGGCGGCTCCTTGCCCTCCTCACCCTTGGGTCTCAGCCACCAGGGTTGGCCAAGACCAGCTCTGTGGGTATCTGTGCTCCTCAACGAATACTGTCTCCCTCACCAGGGACTACCTAGATCCCAAGGGGACAAAAATGGGCTAACTATCCACACCAATCCAATAGTCAGATTGAGGGGGCCTTTGGCAGATAATAGTGTTTCACCAGTCACCGAAGGAAATACCAAGAATACCTCCTTTTCCAAGAACTCCAAGAACTTTCCAGGTACCGCCATTCAGCCGTGTACTGGGAGCAGAGTATACACAGGAAAACACTGGCTATTGCTATTTGAATGTGTAATAAGTAGAACTTACCTAAACGGAAGCAGAGCATTGTATTGCACAGGTTCAGACGAAGCATCAAACGGCAATGCCGATGAGATATCACTAAGGAGATAATCATGCCAAAGTATGAATGACTGATCTCCAGAGAAGTGGAGTTAGTCAGCAGAGCTCCCTACCTGGGCTGTCCAGACAGGAAACTCATCTAGAATGATCTGGATGAAGCAGAATTGTAGCTTCCCAGCCTGAAGCCCAAGACCATAATCCCCAATACAGTCCACCCCGTCATACCCAAGAAAGATACTACATCAGCATGGAGTGGGGCGTGCATACTTCTGACTGTGTTTGCCACTCACTCTTGCCTTCCTGAGAACTAATGGGACGTTTAACAGCAGGCAGAGGGATGGTCCTGCTTCTCACGTTTTCCTCTTCACTGAGGGCTCCCTCCACATCTACAGACTCCCTCGGGATCATCTTTCCACACTAAACAGCTTCCGGCTCTCCTTCGGTTCAAGCCTGAGTTAGCAGCTTCTCCGTCTTTAAGCTTTGGTGCCCTCTGGTGCCCTCCTGTAATTTCGAGTCGAGAGTCCACACAAATGGGCACGGAACACTTTTCTCCCACAAAAATCCACACAGGCTGCGTGACTTGTTCTGTCACGCCTGTCTTCTGTGTGGAGAGTGGAGAAAGGCCTGGCTATGTGTGTAAGCCCGAATGGATGTGTGTGGCTGACAAGGGCGGGGCTGTACCAAGGGTTCCAATGACTTGGACCCACGGGAAATGGCCATGGCCACGCCTTCCTTCCAGGTCCTATTGCAAATGCTGACAGTGTGCGCAGAACGTAGCCTTCCCCTCCCTGTAGTGGAATTTGCCCCTATTTGACTATAATAATAAATACAAGAAGCCAATCACTGGGCGAGAAGGAGGCGGGACTTCTGAGTCCCAGAAAAGAAAGCAAGAAGAGAGGAACTTCCTTTTGGACGGCGAAGCAAGGCAGAAGATTTCTAACACAGAATAGTTGATACTTTTAGGATGCTAGGTTCTGCACCCAGCGATTGTGTTATCTGTTGATTCTAAATTAAGATTGTCTGGTGTCTTCCTTCTTGAGGCAATTCAGCCGAGCTCCAGGGAAAGGCAACCATGGCAGAGCGTGGGTTTGCGGGAGTGTGCCCCAGCTAGCCGTGCAAATTTGGGAGTGCTGAGCGGGCTTGGTGGCAGTCAGCCCCTGGGTGGAGAGAGCGATTTCGGAGCTCTGGAGAGGCAGAGCCAGCCTTGGTAGGACAACCGTTAGCAAAAGGGAAACATGCGGCCTCTGTACCGGGCTGGGAACAGATGACAGTGTGGATTGTTTTTTAATATTACACGGTACACCTCCCAAATGATTTTGGCCTGAAGACTGAGCGCCTACAGCAGTGGTTCTCAATCTTCCTAATGCTGCAACCCTTTAATACAGTTCCTCAACCATAAAATTATTTTTATTGCTGTAAGGCTGACGAGCCTTAGCTACCAGGGACTGCGCACCCCCCCCCCCACCGTGAACTACACAAAGTTGGAGATCCATCCAAAAGCAAGAGGAGTTTATTGTTCCAGCGCTCTGGGGTCATCCTACATCCAAAAGAGAGATCACGACCCCTGGCAGCCCGTTTGGCCAGTTTTTATACAGTTTTCAGGGTTAGAATACAGCACAGCCATTAGGCACAACGTGATTGGCGGAACAGTGTGACTTTTAAACTGATTGGTCCTTAGGGAATGAGGTAGCAAGGGCTTCCCTTATCTGGGGGGAGGCAGGGGGAACAGTCTGTCCCCCACTTTGGTCTTCTTGACCCTTAACCCTGCCCCCTCGATTCATCTGTCTGCAACAACCTCACCTCCCTATTCAACTGTGTAAAATAACACTGGGCTTCCCTGATGCTGAGGCTTCTCTACCTGAGAGCCCAGTTCGCCCTGCCCCAGCTTCCCATTTGTCTGTGTGTCCGTTTGTTCCCCCACTGCAACACTCTGTGGAGCTTTGCTAGGACATGGCACTTCTGTTTGTGGCGTGTGTGGGCACGTGGCAGTGTTAGAGTATCCTAAAGCCTCCCTGATAGTGTAAGATTCTGGCAAGCCTTAGCTTACCGGGGACTCCCTGAGTGAACCACACGGAGCCAGGAATCGATGCAAAAAGCAAGAGGAATTTTATTGTTGTAGCATGCTGGAGTCATCCTGCATCTAAAAGGAGAGGCGGCCACTCGAAGCTCGTTCAGTAAGCTTTTATACAGTTTCTAGAGAAACAGCAACTAGGCACAATATGACTGGCAGAACAGTGTGACTTTTAAACTGATTGGTCTTTAGGGAATGAGATGTCTATGGGTAGTCCATTCTGTGGAATGTGTCCCGACCCTCAGGTCAGTTCCACCACCACCCCTGTGGTCTGAGGAATGTTAACTAGCATCTCCCTTCTGGAGGGCCAGGTGTCCCGTGACCTTTCCAAAGTTCCTGAGCTGACCTCTTGGATAGCCAACCCCTTCCCCTCTTCCTTCGTGTTCACAACAATGACTTCTTCACTGGCCTACACCTGTGGCCCACAGCAGAGCTAAAAGCTGGACAAGTCACTGTTGAGATCACGCCGGATGGTCACAAGCATTCCTTCGCCTCGGAGCTTTGTCCTCTTCTGCTCACAACTGATCTGCTCTCGTGCCTTCTATCCCTGCACCCGCCCCAGTTGGGTTCTTCTCTTTTCCTGGTTATTTTAGGAAAACGCTGTTTCATCCCCTTGACACAGCTGCAAGGAAACCATCGTCATCTTTACTGTAATAAAAACACATACCCTCTGGGTCTCCAGTGCCACATGGGGAGGGGCAGCTAGATGCCAGCACCCCCTCTCTGTGAAGTTGCTCCCCACTCATTCCGTGGTAGCCACTGTACTTCTGAACAGCACAGATGGGACAGGTTGGACTCTGCAGATGAATGTACCAGAGTCATAACTAGAGGGGTAGGGAGCAGAACAGAGAAACATACAGCTCAGTGGCTGAGACACAAACACGGCTTCACCTGTGAACTCGTCTTTGTGGGGGAAGGGATGTTGCAGGGTATAGCAGAACCCCCTCCAGTTGACAAGCCACCCATATAGGCAGTGGGTGAAGGAGCCTTTACTGAAGATGTTTGTTGTAAGATGAAGGTCCACACACCACTTCTAGGATGTGGGTGGTTTAGGTTTAGACTCAACCAGGGAGCATGCTCCTTTAGTAATCTCTTCAGGGAAGACACACACTGTGGCTGGCCTCCACTAGGCTAGAAGGGCACTCTGCCTGAGCGTTCTCATTTCTAAGCTCCGCCTCCTCCTGTGTTCCAGCTCCTATGGGTCTTGGTGATCTGTCCAGTCCGGCTACTATGGAGTGGGAAGTGGAGAGCACCTTCAAACTCTAGAAATGATTCCTGAAATGTTGTCTTTGAAGTCCCTTCACAGGCCATCTCCTCCCACAGTGCATCAGCTGGGGAGTGACCTGAGTGACAGGAAATAGAGAAGAAGTCAAACTGTCACTGCCAAGGCTATCTTACTCTGGAAGGTCCCCCACAAGCGCTCGCTTCCAGTGCTTGCTCCCCAGTGTATGGCCTGTTTTAAAAGCCATGGTGCATTGGTTCTCAATCTGTGGGTCTCGAGCCCTTTGGGGGTTGAATGACCTTTACCCAGAGTTGCCTAAGACTGTCAGAGAACAGATATTTACATTACATTTCATACCAGTAGCAAAATTACAGTTATGAAGTAGCAATGAAAATAATTGTACGGTTGGGGTCCCTCCGGCACAAGGAACTGTATTAAAGGGCTGCACCATTAGGAAAGTTGAGAACCACTGCTATAAATAAGTCTTTAGGAGGTGGTGTGTGGCGGACGGAAGCCTTTGAAGGTTGTGCCCACTGCTGTCCTCAGGCCTGCTCTCTCTGCCCACCCCACATCTGCTGCAGGGTGAGCAGACACTAGCTCCTGCTCCCTCCACCACAGGTTAAACCACACCTCTGCACTTAACCACCATGGCGGTGGGAATCCCTCTGGAACTAAAGCCAAAGGAAAATTTTCCTCTGCTAAGTCGTTTCTGCCAGGCATTTTATCTCCATGGTGATAAGAGTAACAAACATGATTGAAAAAGAACTCTGGCCTCTGACTTTGCTTTTTTTTCCCTATCTTGTGTAACTCCGACTCCCAAGTGTCCTATGGAGAGGGCTATGTGGCAAGGACCAGAGACCACATCTCGAAAATAGACCTTGTCCAGTCAAGCGTCCGAGTGCCTCATGCCCTGAACAGTTGAAGTCTATTAGGGACCCTGAGGCTAGACCACCCTTCTAACTGCTACTGATCCCCGACTCCAGCAACTGTGTAAAATGATACATGACACTCCTCTTAAACCAAAGGAAGGGACACTTCATTATGCAACAGATAACTAATATTTGAATTCCATCACGCATGACTCATTCCCAGCCTCAATATTTACCAAACCGGCAAAAGAACGGAGCGGGGATGACTTGGGATGAAAAAAAAACAACAATAAAAAAAACCATGTCCAACCACAAAAGGCTACAACCCTCTCCCTCACTGGAACCCCAGACACCAGCCTCTTTACAAGCTCAAGGGAACTTTACCCTCTTGAGAAAAGTAGCTTTCCCCTTCCCTCCTTCTGCAAGCTCCATCTGTCCCCGTGATGCCAGGTCCCCTTTCCCCAGGTAACGGTAAAAGGGGTGTCCAGTGTTTTAAGTGGCTCCCCCATCCCTCTCATGCATGTGCTCCTGCTCTGTGGCATCCACAGGACTCAGTGGACATCAGGGACATCAGAGAGGGTGACGCAGAGACAAGGAAGCCACCTCAGATGGCAGCTGAGGTCAGAAATTCCACATAGGGTGGAACAGCTGAATGCGAACTGATAGTGCCCTAACGAAGGTTTGTGACGCCACACTTAATGCCAGGAGGGAGAAAGCCGTGACAAGTGCTTGACTTCATAGTACATGCCCCAGCACCACGAGCAGTGTCCCAGCCTGGCAACAGGGACCTTGTGCTGTCAACCAACGGGTGCATAGCACCCACCAGAGCCATGTCTGCCATCAGGACCCTGTTGCCAAATGATAGACCCTCAGTGTGGGCCAGCTTCTCATCCATTCACAGGGCTGCTCCTTCCAACAAAAGAGAAGGTTCTGGTCAAGGAGGAGTGATGGGTGGTGTCTGGTCAGTAGGACATAATACCCGAGACGTTAGGGAGAACTTATTTTGGCTTGTAGTTCAGGGGACATCAGCTATGGTAAGGAAGGAAACTAGAAAGGCTTTGTCTGGGGCGGTGGGAGCTTGTGGCTCGGCTCACACCTTAGGAGATCGCAAAGCAGATAAAACCAGCAAGCCTCCAGACTTACCGGCCCCACTTCTTCTAGGGAACCCACATCACACATCCCAAAGGTTTCCCAGCCTCCCCAAACTGTATCATTGTGGGGAACCATGTATTCAAACACATGAACCTGTGGGGAACGTTTACCCTCAAACTATAATAGTTAATAATATATAGCAATGGGTAGGCATGACTTGCTGGTTAGAACCGGCACTGCAGGGTCACAGATGGAGCATGGCTACACCTACATCACTAGCCTCCACCCCAACCCTCAGATCCTGGACCTGCCCACCCACCACCTTCTCTTCCTCCCTTAACAATGAGGTCAAGGCTTGGTACCTACTTCCCTGCTTGGGCCCATCCTCACCCACAGACATAAGTGGGAGCTGACACGTTAGGCCCTGCACTCAGTCCTGAGGATGTCAGAACCTACAGGATAAAGTCCTTCCCTCAAGGGTCTCCCAGTCCTGTGGAAAAGACAGACAAGTAGACAGGTGGATATCACACATTCAGACATGCTCGAGTGTCTAATGAACACAAGGGAAGTAAGGTCACCCTGAATCAGGCATCCCAGAGGAGCAAACATAAGGAGAGAAGTAACATTAATGGTGACTGGCCATGAACGCTACTTGGCAAGACCCATGTCACAGGGGTTATATAGGTGACTCTATGCCTAAGAGCTCTTGCTGCTTCTGTCGTCTTCCAGAGGACCTGAGTTCAATTCCCAGCACCCATATCTGATTATTTACAACTGCCTGTGACTCCCAGAGATCCTGTGCCGTCCCCCATTGACGCCACCACACACACATAAATAAATGAAATCTTTTTAAAAGAGCCCTGTCACAGCTAGGCCCAGTGGTGCATATCTGAGAGGTAGAGGGAGGGGGGGCCACAAGTCTAGATCATTCTCTGCTGCCTAATGAGCTTAGGTTGTCCCAAATATGTTAGACCCAGACCCATGGATGGGGCCAGGGAGGGACAGTGTGTGTGTGTGTGTGTGTGTGTGTGTGACAAATTGCCTTTCTTTGTCTCCATTTTACAGTTAAGAAAACTAAGGAGCAAGTTTTAGTCATTTACTAAGGTTATATATAAAATAAAAAGAAACTGACTACCCAATACCCCAATTTCTGAACTATTACCAAAGACCTAAAGACACGAATACAGAGCGCATCGCTGGTCTCTACCACTAGGTGGCAGTAGTACTCCCCCACCACTTTTTTTTTTTTTTTTTTTGATCTTTAGAGATTGTCAAATCCCAACGGTCCAGTACTGCTCTGGTTGGGAACCGCTCAACTAGCCATTTCTCTCTCTTATCTCCATAAACTTGTAATGAAGTTTATTGTTCACCAAGGACCAAGCATCCTCCTAAATAATTTAGATTATTAACTCACTTAATCCTCACAACAGCTCTTAAGTGCGAGCTTCATTGCTCTGTGTTCCACGGAGGAGGACTTCCCAGTGGCACGGAGATATTACACACATTGGAGACCGTCCCAAAGCTTCTGGGTAGTGGTGCCTTGGTCTGAGCCTGCTGAACGAGGCCTGGAGCCACTGCCTTTGCAGCGGTAGTGGGCTGGTTTTTGATCTCTTGTGACTGAAGGACATGGTGGGGGGGGGTCAGTCAAGTGTGAAAATTTTGGGGACAGCATAAGATTAGTAGTAAGAGTGTAACACACGAGCGCAGCCAAACAGCAGAGAGAGGCTGAAGAAAGAAAATGAGTATACAGTTACTGAGGAGGAACCTGCCAGGACAGACAGACAAACGGCTCAGAGGGCTCGGTCGCTGAAGGGGTTTCAGATGGGAAGGATGTGATTAGCTTGTGGGCGGATGAGGGCAGAAGGAAGGCTGGGCTCGAACGCTAAGACTCATGGCTGGATTTAAGGGGGTTGATTCTGACCGAGCTCTAAGTGTCCGTGACTTAAGCCAATGATTGGAGACAGCATTCAGAACAAGTCGTCAGAGCCACCCTGTCTCCCAAGTCCTGGCCTGCCCATACCCCTCATGCCCAGGCTCACAGCCCGACTGACATGGCTATCCCCTAATGCTATCTTGGATCTCCCTTCAATCCTAGACCTGAACCCAGAAGCCCCAGAGGGTCCTGGCCCCGGGGTAAGGCTTGAAAAGTAAAGCCAGACTGAGCTGGTGAGACGGCTCAGCCGAGTAAGGGCTTTTGCCACCCAGACTGATGGCTTGAGTGTCAGGACCCACATGGTAGAAGGCAAGAAGCTACTGCCTCAAGTTATCTTCCGACTTCCACACTTATGCTGTGTGGCATGAGTCACAGAAGCGCGTGTGCGCGCGCACACACATACACAAATGTTTCCCAAAATATCAAAGGTAGGGGTGGAGGGGAGCAGCAAATACTGTCCCAGGCCCCTCTGCCAGGTCTCTCCTTTGCCCTTTGCACTGGCCACAGCTAATAACTCTTCTCCCAAGGAAAGCTACAGGAAACCCCAGGCCCTTTCTCCTGGGGCCATCCCCTCACAGAACGGCAGGTGGCAGCACCGACATGGATTTTTCAAAGTAAAACCAAAGCTGAAACTAAAATGCCCTTCCTGGACTTACACCCAGGCATCCTCTTTGCTTTCGCTCCGTCTCCGCCTCCCTGCCCCTGCCCTTCGCCCTTCTTAGTTAATGAGAAACGAAAGTCAATGGCTCCAGAAACAAACTTAGAAGGTGAGGAAACATCGGAGGTAGGGGGTATAAGTTTGTTTTCAGACATATCCCTGGTCTCTGGACCCCACTGTCCTGACTCACTTAGTTCCCCAGGCTTATATCTAAGGAGGAAAAGTTCCCCGGGACCAGAGATATGGCTCAGCGCCTAAGAGTGCTTGCTGCTTTTGCAGAAGGCCTGCATTTGATTCCCAGCACCTATGCGGTGGTCCAGCTCCGTGGTCTCCGACGCCCTCTTTGACCTCCCTAGGTGTCAGGCACATAACATACATGTTGCACATATACACATATAAACAAAACACTCATGCATATAAAATAGTTTCTTAATATTTTAAGTCTCTCATTAGTAGTCTCAGGATCTGACTGCTGAGGCAAGAGGATTACAATGAATTTGAAGCTAGCCTGAGCTACCAAATGAGGTTAAAAAGAAATTCCTGACTTCTTCTTCCTCGTCTCGCTCAGATGGGACCATTATCCAGTCACTATGATGTATGTCTTTCTGTTTTTCTCCTGTGGGATTTTAAATATATTCGTATATTTGGGTTTGGGTGCACATATGCTACAGCATGGGGATAGACCCATAGTGGGTCCTCACCCCCCACCTCATCAAACCATGGACCATAGTGGGTCCTCACCCCCCACCTTGTTGAAGCAGGGCCCACTTGTTGCTTTTGCTGCTGTGTGGGTGCTCCAGGCTAGCCTGCCTATGAGTTCCACCTGTCCTCTCACTATAGAAACCCTGTGGTTACAGATACGTGCCACGTGGGTTCTGGGGGATGAACTTGTGTCCTCAGGCTTGTGTGGCTAGCTAGTGCTTTTACTTGCTTCCCACCCCTGCCCCCGCCTTTTTTTTTTTTTTTTTTTTTAGCTCTTTGAGCTAGAGTCTCCCTATGTAGCCCAGGCTAGCCTCAAACTCACAATCCTGCTGCTATGGCCTCCCATGTTCTAAGGTCACAGATGTTTATTCTCACCCCATGTTTACAGTTATAACTTTAAATGTTTACAGATATACTTAAATATAGCTTTAAACTTTCTATACTGAGTGAGACAGCATTACAAAAATTTCACTTTAAAAGCTTCCTTCGTGCATAAACTCTACCACGACACATGTACTTGAGTTTGTCTCATGAGTGTTCACTGCATCTGTGCACATAATGCATTTAAGATTTTGTACTTCACAAACATGACCTCCTCCCCCCTCCATGCCTGGCTTGCTTCCTTTTGCCAAGAATCTTGTGAGCACAGGTCAAGAGCATCTCGTGCTCTTTAGTGGCTGGCACTGAGATTAGGGAAACACATGGGAAATGTTATACAGAATTGTTATCTAACACATCAGGTGTTGTGTTAGAATGAGATGACCCCTTCCAGCTTTCCTGAAGCCGAGCCCATGGGAAAGCTTCTGTCCCAGGAGACCTGTCAGTCCCCAGCAAGTCAGAGTGGTCCAGTGGGTGTGACAATTCATCATCCTTGTGAACCTTACCAGGTTTAGAATCACGTGGCAGAATGTCTCCATCTGTCTTCCTGCTGCTGTGACAAACCTCCCAACAGAAGCAACCTAAAGAGTTATTCTGGTTCACAGTTCAAGGGTGCCGGCCATCCAAGCAGGGAGGCGGAGCAGCAGGGACTGGAACAGCTGTTCACATCCGCAATCAGGAAGCAGAAGGACAAAGCGCCCATGCTCGTCACAAGCTGGTCTCCTTTCTGTACAGCCCAGAACCCTCGCCCAGGGACACAGTACTGCCCACAGTCAAGGTGGGCAACACACACCTTTAATCCTAGCAGTGGCAGGTAGATCTCTGTGAGCTCAGGGTCAACCTGGTCTACACAGTGAGTTCTAAGAGAGCTTGAAACTAGCAGTGAGATCCTGTAAGTAAATAAATAAATAAATAAATAGATAAATAAGATGGCTCTTTCCACATCAAATAATACAAGCAAGAAAATTCCTCATAGAAATTTCTTTCATCCAAAAGAACTCAGACTTCTTGTTGTATGCAATCTGCAAAACTGGAGAGACAGCTGAAATTAAAAATCCATTGAACAGCTGGAAGGAAAACAGCCCAGTAGGTTAACCATGCATTCACGGGATTGAACTGTTATAACAAAGTATCACAGACTTAACAGAAACTCAGTTTTCCTCCTTCCTCCATGGGCTTGAGGTCCCTGGTCAGGGTCTTAATCTAATCTCAGGTTCTAGAGAGGACCTTGTCTTGAGTTGAAGATGGCTGCCCCTCAAAGGCATTCTTAGACACTGGACCAAGATAATCCCTTACAGATGTGCCCAGTGCCCACAGCCTCGTGGAGATGTGCCTCTGGGTGTAATGAAGAGGGAAGACCCACCCTGGATGTGGAAGGCACTTTCCTGAGGACTGGGGGCCTGGACAGAGTAAAAGGCATAAAAGTAAAAACCATTGAGTCTTCAGATTCCCCTGTCACCTTTAGGTTGGCACTACAGACCAAGCCACTGTGCCTCCATGCCTGCTCTGCTCTTCCTGTAAACCGAACCTTCCTACTTCAAGTTCATTTGTGCCAGGCATTACTCAGAGAGCAAAAAGAATCATGGTATGTTCCCTCTGTCAGAAACAAGTCCTTTAGACTTAAACAAGGTTGCAGTTCTTTGACCTGTGCATCACACTTTTAACTTTATGTCTTTCCCACCCTGCCCCCCACCTTGTCCTTTTGTCCCCTGTTGGTATTAGGCAGTTAATCGCAGACTTCATACCTTAAAAATGATTGAGAACCCAAAAGAGCTTTTGCTTATGTAAGTCATATGTATTCATAGCTATTGGGCTGGAAATTCCAATGGAAGATTTTAAAATCAAAAAAAAAAAAAAACCATCTGTGCATTCCTTTGGTTATCAGGGGTGAGTCACTGAGAATCCCGTGACCTTGGACGCACTCCACTGCCCGCTTGGGAGAACGTGAGAGAAAAGCAAATAACGTCTTGAGGTTTTGGTGGAAGTCATTTTGACCCAGAGAAAGGTTCTCAAGGACCCTAAGGCTTCCGGACTACATATGGAAAGACATCGCTCTTTGGAGAACCACTGATCAAGGATTACAGTACACTTCCTTAACCCCCAGTCCACAAAGGTTATGTCCAGTTAGTCATAAGTCACACAACACAGTGGCATAGCTTTGCTCTTATGCAGTTATCTGTGTCTGAAAGACAGTAAGAAGAAAAGGTCGGAGCTGGAGAGATAGTTAAGAATGCTTGCTGCATTCAGAGGGTCCTGTTCATGTCCCAGCACCCACACCAGGTGGATCACGACCGCCTGGAACTCCAGCACCGGGGGGATCTGATTTTACCTACAAACCCACAGCTTCTCTCTGCTCTTGGGCTGATCTCACTGCCCTTCATCCCTGAGAACATCTCTTCGGCGCTTCTGTCTCATGATGCAGGTCTGCTGGGGACAGCATTGTCCTAGTTCATCTGAGCCTGGAAGATGTTTTTTTTTTTTCTTTTTCAGATAGGGTCTCAGTATTGACCCAGGCTGGCCTCATACTCATGAGTCACCTGCCACAGCCTCCCAAGGGCTTAGATTACAGGTGCCTTTTACACCGATAGCTCTCTCTATAGCATCAGAAAGATGATGTTCCTGCCCTAGAAGAAAACATTGACACCGAAAACGTCCTTTGTGTGCGGTGCGTCATTTTTCTCTGGCTGCTTTACTCATCCACACATTCATTCATTTTTGGTCCCAGCATTTAGGGAACTGAGGCAGGAGAATCATGAAGTACATAGTAAGCCACTGTCTGAAAAAGCAAAAGCAACAAAAATGGTCTTGGTGGCATAATTCCACGACTATAATTCCAACACTTGGGCACTGAAGGCCAGAAGATTAAGAATTCAAGGCCTCAAGCCTGAACTATATAAGACCCTGTCTAAAAAAAAAAAAATTAAATAATTAAAAATAAACCAACAACAACAACCAGGGAAGCTGACTGATGGCGCGCACTTCAGCTCTTAAGTCTTGGGAGGCAGAGTCAGGCAGATCTCTCTCTGAGTTTCAGGTTAACCTGATCTACATATTGAGTTCTAGCCCAGCCTGAGCTAAATCGTGAGATCCTGTACAGTGTTTTGAATAGATATGGTTTCCATAGACACGTGTGTTTGAATGCTTGGCTATTGGGAGTGGCACTATTAGGAGGTGTGGCCTTGTTGGAAGAAGTGTGTCACTGTGTGGGTGGGCTTTGAGGTCTCCAATGCTCAAGCTACATCCACTGACACAGTCTCCTTCAGCTGTCTGCTGATCAAGATGCAGAACTCTCACCTCCTTCTCCAGCACCATGTCTGCCTGGATGCTACTGTGCTTCCAATGGACTAGACCTTTGAAACTACAAGCCAGCCCCAATGAAATGTTTTCCTTTATAAGATTTGCCTAGAATGTAGGTGCAGAGGACGAGGGTAGAGAGCTTGATTAGCCTGTGGCACTTGTCCGATTCTTAGACTTCCTGTATTTCATTCTTTAGTTCTAGAAGTTAAATGGAGTTTTCTTTTTCAGGATGCAAACCTGTGTTTCACAGCACAGCTTTACACAGAACGCTACCAGTACGTTTCTTCATATTTTACCAGGGGGCAGGGAATTGAGACATACAGAATTTCTCTTAATATTCATACCATATGTCAGCCAACTCCCAAATAGATGCATTGCTGTTGTTTAGAACTTGAATGTTCAATAGAAAAAAAAAATCAGAGGAAAAGGAGTAAGTTTACGTAACATAACTGATGGAAAAATAAATTCAAGAGACCATTTATTATAGTTTCATGTGACCTGAGGGATATGATTTATTTGCTGTTTACCCGCCCCCCCCCCCAAATGATCTCCTTGGAACGTGTATAGCACCCGGGTCATCAGTCCTTCCTCACAGGGAACAGCCACTCTCCTTATCTTGATAGGCAGGTCTTTTAGAAAACAACTGTGCCTTAGCATTGTGGTCTACGCCTGTAATCGTAGCACTCAGTGAGTGGAGGCAGGAGGATCGTCCTTTTGGGCTACTGTGATAGTTACTCTCAATTGTCAACTTGAGCTCTGAAGTCACCCAGGGGGACAAGCCTCTAGGCATACCTGTGCTGGATGTTTAGCCTCTGCCCATGCCTGTGAGGGATTACGTTATTTAGGGTTATTATGGTTGGAAGACTTTGTAGTGGTTTGAATGAGAACTCTCACTTTTTCTCCTTATATTTGTAAATGTATTTTTTTCCTCTCATCTTTAGATGCTAAAATTCTTGTTTACTGTTTCCAACATCTGTGTCATTTTGAAAGACCATCTCTATCTTAGTCAGGTTTTTTATTGCTGTGATGAAACACTATGCCCATAAGCAACTTAGAGAAGAAAGGTTGTATTTTGCACAGGCTCCATATGGCAGGTCCTCATCATCGAAGGAAGTCGGGGCAGGGAATCAGAGGCAGAATCTGATGTAGAGGCCGTGGAGGAGTGCTGATTACTGGCTAGCTCAGTCTGATTTTTTTTTTAAGCACCCAGGACCTCCCGCCCATTGGTGGCACCACCATAGTTAGTTGGGCCCTCTCACATCAATCTTCAATCAAGAAAATGTACGACTGGCTTGCTCACAGGCAGACCTGGTGAGAGCATTTTCCCAACTGAAGTTCTTTCAAACCTATTCTAGCTGGTGTCGAGTTGACATAAAATTAGCTAGTCGCTCTGTAAATTAAGTTTTCTCATAAGCATGGTTTGTGTTTTTCCTTCCTTACATTTTGAGTAACTTGGGGTTATGTGTTCATTATCTTCTCCTTGTTTTGCTAGGATATCTGATAAAAGCAACTTTAAAAAGTGTTCTTTTGGCCGGGCGGTGGTGGCGCACGCCTTTAATCCCAGCACTTGGGAGGCAGAGGCAGGTGGATTTCTGAGTTCGAGGCCAGCCTGGTCTACAGAGTGAGTTCCAGGACAGCCAGGGCTATACAGAGAAACCCTGTCTCGAAAAACCAAAAGAAGAAGAAGAAGAAGAAGAGGAGGAAGAAGAAGAAGAAGAAGAAGAAGAAGAAGAAGAAGAAGAAGAAGAATAGGTGTTTGTTTTATCTCGCAATGCAATCAATTGCATTTCACCATGGTGGCATGGTGAGCCTCGAGTGAGCCAAGGATGTAGCTTGGTTGATAAAATACCTGCCTACCATGAACAAGGCCATGAGTTCAATCCCTCAGCACCCCATAAACTGGGCATGGGGATGCACACCAGTTAATGCTAGCACTTAGAAAGTGGAAGCCATCCTCAGCTACCTATTGGGTTTGGGGCTAACCTGGGCTACGAGATACCTTGTATACAAAGGAAAGTTAGAAGGCTCTAGTGGTGAAGGGTAGTAAATTCAGGATGTAAACGGCTCCTTCCCCACAGCCCCAGAGCCCACACTGATCTTCCCCACTCCCATTTATGGACCGGTGTGACCACCCCACAGTGTCAGCTCTGAGGCAGCAATGAAAACAGGCCGGAAGCTCGGCTGCCCATCCTCAGACCACAGGCCAGTACTCACCAGCTCCGCGCACAGACGTCACGCTCCCTCTCCAGTCCCGAGTCCCTGGAGGCTTCCTCCCTTTTACCCAAATACAAACTTTGGCCTTCACACCTGAGTGGGAATAAAGCGGACTCTCATACTCGAGTTAGAGTCCCACCACAGGGACCAACATATGCCCAGCTCTGGACTTCCGGTCTCTTTCTCCTCTGTCTGCCTGGGTCTTTTCAGCCAGCTTCTACTCAGTGTTCAGCTCCTGGCCATGTACGATGAGCACCCATTCTGATTTTTCCAGAACTTCTTCTGTTTTAAAAGTGAAAACCGTGAACCAGGCAGTGATGGCGCACACCTTTAATCCCAGTACTTAGGAGGCAGAGGCGGGCAGATCACTGTGCATTTGAGGCCAGCCTGGTCTACAAAGTGGGCTCCAGGACAGCGAGGGTTACACAGAGAAACCCTGTCTCAACAAAACAAAATCGAAAGTCCCCGGTCCCAGGACACCCTCAGTCCTGTTTAAACCAGAACAGTGTGTCCCAAACACCCACTAGTCCCATGCAAGTCAGAACTGTGGTCCTGGCTCCTACCCAGGAGTCTCCTTTTAAAGACTCTCCCTTTCTCTTCTCCAGAAGATCTCCAGGGACAGTTTGTCAGAAGGGCTAGCCTGGGCCCTCAGATTCAGCTTCCTGCCTCTCTTACTGAATGACCAGAGCTCAGAAACAGCCCCTGCAGACTGTCAAGGATAAAAAGACAAGGCCAGCTACTGCAGGAGTCCTCACCTTAGCTAAGTCATAGCTGCTTCCTTCCTGACAAGTTGGTCATGGACTAAAATGGCCACTCACCCTGTGGATATGAGTGACCTCTGGCTTCACAGGAACCCGTTAGAAGAGGAAACAGGCTTCAGTGGCCCCTGGGAGCTCAGCCAGTGGGGTCCACTCCCCCTAAGATTGCTATAGACCTGGTGCATGCTTATAGTCCTAGCACTCAGGAGGCTAAGAGGCCAAAGCTAGCCTGGGCTACAAATTGAGACGCTATCTCAAAACAAACAGAAAAGAGCCGGTGATACAGCTCAGTAGAAGGGCGTTAACTTAGAAAGTGCAAGGCCTTGAATTCTATTCCAGTCAGGGGGAAAAGGGAGGGGGAATCATCCCCAGGGGCGTGTGGGGTTAGGACATGCCACAGCGGTAGATTCTGTCTCAGTATTGTGACTGGGAAATTATATGTTCTCTGACCCTCAGTCTCTGCTGTTTCCTCAAAGGCATGGACCAGAGCTCTTCTCATTTTGTTGTTTTGTTTTGTTTGAGACAGAGTTTCTCTGTGTAGCCCTGGCTTTCTTGAACTCACTCTGTAAACCAGGCTGGCCTCAAACCCAAAGAGATCCACCTGTCTCTGCCTCCTGAGTGCTGGAATTAAAAGGCATGCACACCACTGCCTGCCTCTCCTAATCTTTTTAAGTCTGCAGAAACCAAAGACCCCGAATGTATTTGTCTTAGTTGCTGTTCTGTTACTGTGAAGAAACACCATGGCAACTTATAGAAGGAAGTACTGAACTGGGGGCTGGCTTACAGTTTCAGGGGGTGAATCCACTATCATCACGGAGGGGAGCACGGTGGCATGCAGGCAGACATGGTGCTGGGGAAGTACCTGAGATCTCACAGGTACACAAGTGCAAGGCAGAGAGAAGTCTAGACTGGGCCTGGTGTGGGCTTTTGAAACCTCACAGCCCACTCCCAGTGACACACCTTCTCCAAGGCCACAACTTCTTCCACTAAGAAGGAACCATCCTCATTCAAACCACTGCAATACTCTGTGTTTGTAATGTGTTGCTTTTGTGAGAAGCTACACAACCACATGCAACACAGAAGAAGTGACTGACTCTTCTCAGATTGGCGTGCGAGTCTAGAAGGCAAATCATTCTGTACACCTGCATCCTAACTCTGCGTGTGCTCCCTGACCCTCCCACACTCACCTCTGCATGTGCTCCCTGACCCTCCCACACTCACCTCTGCATGTGCTCCCTGACCCTCCCACACTCACCTCTGCATGTGCTCCCTGACCCTCCCACACTCACCTCTACATGTGCTCCCTGACCCTCCCACACTCACCAAGCCATGGGTGTGTGTCTTCCCTCGGTGGGTGCAGGGAGAAACCCTGTCACTTATGCTGTGGCTCCTGATATTAGCCTTACAGCTTGGGTTGACAGCTGAGGTGAGTCCCGAAGGATTCAGAGATACCTCGGCTAGACCACAGCCCCAACCCGGCTACATGAGGAGCCTCCAGATGCTGTGGCAGAGATTCAAATGGCTAAGTGCATGAACTCACACATTCTTGACCAAGAAGGAGAGGAAAGGAAGGCTCGGGTTCTTGGGTTACAACTTCAAGCTCTCCAAGAGGCAGACTGGTGGTGTGAATGAGGGGAAGGAGAGACTATCTCACTAAAGGCAGCAGTACAGTCATAAGAAGCATTATACAAGGCAGGATACATACATACAGTAAATAATATTCCAGAAGAGCTGGGTATGCAAGCCCCTGTGATCCCAGCCCTCTGGAGGCTAAGGCGGCAGGATTGCCAGGATTTGGGAGCCAGTCTGGACTGCAGAGTGAGTTCCAGGACAGCCTGGGCTACAAAGTGAGACCCTGTTTCAAAAACACAACCAAGATCTAGGTGTGGCACACACCTAGAATTCTAAAGCTGGAGGGGAGGCAGAAACCTCCTCTAAGGGCAAGATCGAGGCCAGTCCAGGTTTTGTAAGACTGTATCTAAAAACAATAAAAACACAAGAGTCAAAGGTCATGTGTGCATATGTGTACATGTGTACATGCTCTGCTCTCTCAAGCCTCCAGCATGGTTGTGAAAGTCTTTCCTTTCAATTACGGTGAGAGCTCTCTCAAGCCCCCAGCATGGTTGTGAAAGTCTTTCCTTTCAATTACGGTGAGAGCTATTCCTAGATCTGCCAGCAGGTGGCAGACCTGAGCCCAGAGTCTCTTAACTCATTTCCAGTAACTTCTGCCTTCTCCCCAAAGGGCCTCCTCCAGCCCCACCTCCTGTTCCCGGGCCTGGGCCAGGCACTCTAGACAGTTCCAGATGTCAGAGTCCAGAGGCCTGGTCCCAGAGCTGGAGAACAGCCTATGGAGTTCTCCCACCACAAGCTGCATGGGCAAAATGTGAGTTTGCACCCTAGAGGGCCTGGAGAAAGAAAGAGGCCGGGAGAGAGGAAGGGAGGAAGGCAGGACACGGGGTTACATAAGTACACACAGACACACACACATAGACACACACAGACACACACACACATGGGGGAGGGGGGTTGGGGGGAGGGTAGACAAATGACCCAGAGAGAACTAACTGACTTTGCCTGCACGTGGTCTGTTCAGTGCTCTGAGCCAGGAATGCTGACTCATTTAAATGCCCCTAACTTGTACTCCAGGATGGGGTTAGGAATGGCTGAGGCAGGAGGCTACCTGGGTTAGACTCACAAGAGGGAGAGGAGCCATAGCAATGTCTTCATAGGATAGAAGCCCTACAGTCTTGGAGATCAAGCTTCCGAGGGATCTAGATACGAACCTACACAGACTCGGGTGAGGAAAGTGGTATCCGGAAGTGCCCAACACTCTGGGGCCACAGGCACAACTGCTGGGTCCTAAGTCTCCCTCCAGCGCCCTGCTGGAGTCTCCCTCCAGCTGGCCACCACACAGCATCTGCACAGCCTCTGGTATGACCTCACCTTGTCGCCCCTGCTCACTCGCAGGTGCTGGATGATCCTTTGGGGAATCCTCCACACTTGCCCCACACAGGCCTCTCAGCTTTTGGCCCAGCAGTTACCACAGCAACTGACATCCCCCGGATACCCAGAGCCATATCTCAAAGGCCAGGAGAGCCACGCTGACATCGAGGCTCCGGAGGGGTTTGCTGTGAGGCTGATCTTCCAGGACTTTGATCTGGAGCCGTCCCCAGGCTGTGAAGGCGACTCTGTCACAGTGAGCTGGGCAAAGGGGTGGAGAGCTGAAGGGGCTCTGGGGAGGGATCTTCCCATGGGCAGTGGACGATATCTCCGCTCTGAATCACACATCTACAGAACAGAAAAGGTGTCCAAGTCAGAGGTCCTGGGGCCTAGCTATAGCCTGTTCACTCAGTACACAGCATCGTACCTGTCCCTGGCAACCCGCAGGGACCCACCAAGCTCTGAGGGAAGGCTGCCAGGCAGAGCCTGAGTTTTGAAAGCTTACAAAGAGACACATAAATATTGCTGCTCCACGATCTTGTCAAAGGCCCAGGATCTTACCTCTCTAGATCTTGTTGAGTGCCTGCTCTCCTGAATTAGGAAACTGGATGTAGTTAATGACAAATGGTCACCCTCAGAAGTAAGTGAAGACCGAGTTCACCTACGAAGAGGGGCCACAAGATTACGGCAAGGGCATTATTCAGAATAAGAGTCATTTTAAATCACAGTTCATGCTTTCTTTTGAGTTAAATTTTATTAACATCAAAGGAAGATGTGCATACAATTTTTTTAAAGTCAAAATCATGTCCGGATGTGGTTTTTCAAGCCTGTTATCCCAAAACTTAAAAGGCGTGGGCAGGAAGATCAGAAGTTCAAGGCCAGACCGGGCCATATAGAACAAGTTCGCAGCCAGCTTGGGCTACATTGTCTCAAAAACAAAAAGTAAGTTACTCAGGCTACCTTTGAATTCACAATCCTCCTGCAGCAACCTTCTGAGTGCTCAGGTTATAAATCTTACTTAAAGAGTTTTTACTGGAGGGGGGGATAAAATCTGGAGTGTAAAAAAGTAAACAAATAAATAATAATATAAAAGATCTTTTAAAAAAAAATTTAAAGGGCTAGGGGATACAGTTCTTTAGTAACTTACTTGCCAAGACTCTAGATCCAATTCCTTTTATAGATGGAGGTGGGGGTGGAAGACAAATTAAAGAAACAAACAGAGTCCTCCAAAGAGTGTAATGAGAAACAGTAGCTCAGTCTACTCCCAGGCAATCATCTACAGCTTAGCTAACTCCGATGGTATTTACCTTCCTGTGTAACAAGAATATGCTTATTTTACTGTGTAGTTTTGAGTATTTGTCTCATTTTCCTCTAAACTTCCAGCTATAGAGGGTCGTTGCTGGCTCCAGTGTAACACCTTCACCACCCACAGTCCCCTCACTCACTATCCCATTATCAATTTTTTAAAAAAGCAATATTTATTATTTACAGTTAGGACTTGAAAACATTCACACCTGAGCACATGGTACATGTTAATTACATTTACTTTCTTCAGCTTGTTGGCTTCCCAGGAGTCAGTCTCCAATAATGACTCCTTAGAAAGGATATGTTAAATTCTAGACCACCTAAGCTGCTTAGTTCAACCCTCACCACCAGCAGACAGTTTATCTGGGTATAAAAATCCAGCTTTAGCCGGGCAGTGGTGGCGCATGCCTTTAATACCAGCACTTGGTAGGCAGAGGCAGGTGGATTTCTGAGTTCGAGGCCAGCCTGGTCTACAGAGTGAGTTCCAGGACAGCCAGGGCTATACAGAGAAACCCTGACTCTTAAAAAAAAAAAAATCCAGCTTTGAAGTAGTTTTCTTCCAGAGTGTTGGTGACATTGTCTTCTGTCTCCAGTGTTGTTTAAAGGTTTGATGCTACTAACATTCTCATTCTTTCGTTTTCCTATCTAGGATTTTATAAATTTTTTCATTATTCCAGTGTTCTGAACTTTCATTTGATGTGCCATGATACAGATGGCTCTTTACTCATTGTGTGTGTGGGGAAGGGGGGAGGGAGTCTTTAAATCAAGATACTTTTAACCTTTAATTCTGGGAATACTCTTGTGTGTGTGTGTGTGTGTGTGTGTGTACACATGTGCTATCAGGTGCCAGTGGAAGAGGGCATTGGATATTGGATCCCCTGAAGCTGTAGTTACCAGTGGTTGTGAGCCACCAATCTCTCCTGTGCTTTGGCAATCGTATGTGGTGGACTGGTTCTCTAGCTCTCTGTTCTATTCTGTTTTCAATTCCTTGTCTCTCTGCTCCACTTTCTAGAATATTTCCTCATCTTTCTTTTTTGTGACGCCAGGAATTGACCCAGAGCTTCACACATGCTAACACACATTCTTCGCTGAACTACACTTCTAGCCCCAATATCCTCACATTTATATTCAAACTTTTTGGTTGATGATTTCTTCATAAGGACTCATTCTTTCTAAATATGTGGTTCTTACTGTACATGTGCAATAGCTACTTGTTCCCCTCTCATGGGGATCGGCCTTGAGTGTTTCTTCTGCTTTCTGCATTATTGCTGTTTTATCCAAGTATCTTTCATGGTTGCCTGTCTCCACCTCTGATTTTTATCTGAGAGGCTTTCTTGCAACGTCTAAGAATAATACTTTCCTGAACATTTGTATTTAAGATTAAAACACGAAGCTGCTAATTTAAAATTCTACATGAATAGCTAAAATCTGTCAAATGATGGGTTTGAAAAAAACAAAAAAGGTATCTCCATCCCTTTTCTGCTGCTGTAACAAAATGCCATAGGTTGGGTAATTTACAAACAATGGGGTTTTATTTTGCTCATAGTCTGGAGACTGGGACATCCCAGAGGATGGTGCTGGTGAGGAGAGAGAAGGCTTTGCTGTCATAACACGGTGGGACGGCAAGCAAGCACACAAGAGCACAGGAAAAACAGGCCTAAGTCGTCCTTTTCCTTAGGATCTCAGTTCTGCAGAAGCTAATCCACTCCCACAATAAAGGCACAAATAAATCAATTACCTCTCAAGAGACCCACCTGCCAACACTATCACACGACTTTCTCTCTTTTCTTTCCTTTTGCTTTTTTTTTCTTTTCTGTTTTGTTTTGTTTCATTTGTTTGTTTGTCTTGGGTTTTTGTTTTGTTTTGTTTTCCAAGATGGGATTTCTCTGTATCCAGCCCTGGCTATCCTAGAACTAACTCTGTAGACCAGGTTGACCTCGAACTCAAAGAGTCCCCTGTCTCTGCCTCCTGAATGCTGGGATTGAAGGTGTATGCCACCACTGCCCCACACTGTAACTGAACTTCATCGAGCTTTTAAACAGCCAGGTCATAGCAGACAGCATTAACAAGGTGAGCTAGAGGTATCTTGGGGGCCTCCCAAAAAGTGAGCGTGTAGACATCTTTTGTTTGGGACAGTAAGTTTCCCCAGCAAGGTCCCCTGCAGTTTCCCACTCAGGGCTCCCAGCATTCTGGAAACAAGCTGGGACCAAGGATCAAGAAGTAGGCTGCCTCTCGGTGTTCTGTTGGTAGACATTCACCTTATTCCTCTGGTTTGGGTGCTGGACTTTACTACCTCTGTCAGATGTAGCTAGGGACCTCAATCCAGGGTTTCTGGTTTAAATTCATCTCTTCTACCAAAGTGTGTCAGCAAGAGCTGCCTGCTCATATAGTGTGGAAAACCAGGATCTTGAGATCTCCCCTCCCAGACTTCCCACCTGTTGGCCTCTTGTCAGCCTTTGCCCCTGAAAGGTTCTTGGCTCTGCTGAACCCTGAAACTTTGTGCGGGTCAGTGGTGAGAACCTGCTGGTTGTGTGCTGGTTTCCACCATTTCAAATTCAGTTCTTCTCCTTGCCACCTGTGCCCTGGCTTCCACTTGTTCAAAGTCGCCATCTCCTCTCACTCTTTCTGTTCTTGGCTTCTCACCTTAGCGGGGTTTGAAGTAGGAAAAGAGATAAGAGCACACATGGGTTCTGATGCTAAGTCCTTGGGGCGGGGCAATACGAGGGCTTTAAGCCAGGGCCTCTCCCATGCTGGGCAAGCACTCTACCACTAAGCAGAATCTTCATCCCCTAAAAACATGTACTTCTGGTTTCCAGTGTAACTGGCCGTGTCCATATTCAATGTGGCCTGTGTCTATTGAACACCTGCTATGACTCCACTTTCTCTTTAGTCATGGATAACTTTAATCCTAGATTAACTCTCCTGCCACCCTGTTTTGTTTTGTTTTGTTTTGTTTTGTTTTTCAAGACAGGATTCCTCTGTTTAGCCCTGGCTGTCCTGGAACTGGCTTTGTAGATCAGGCTGGCCTCCATCTCACAGAGATCTGCCTGCCTCTGCTCCTGAGGGCTGGAACTAAAGATCTGCACTGCCATGACTGGCAACTCTTCCCTTTTCATTGAAGAATTCAGGTTCAAGGAGATAATATTTCCTTCCTTTCTCCTTCCAGAGAAAGTCTCTCTCTCTCTCTCTCTCTCTCTCTCTCTCTCTCTCTCTCTCTCT